TTTTTTTTTTTTTTTTTTTTTTTCAGGCTTCTTCTTTCCAGTTGCTTAAATTGGAAAATTTACTGCGATGATCATACTTCACTTTCATAAGAGTTGTTGGCCAACATTAGAAAATTATATCAGCTTTGCCTGTGAATGACTGACAACATATTCCACGGACACTGTTTCTTTGGGGGTTTCATCTACGCCCTAGGCATTTCTTAACTCTTTACGCCCCAATACTGAATTCCTTCTAGTTTAACACGGCAATTTAAACAAGTAATTTGTCCTGAACTTACGATTGTCGAAAAAAAAATTTCACCAAAAAATTAATTTTTCATGTTACATTAATGACGGAGAAACGTACCTGGAACTAGATCTCTCTCTATTTTACCATCGTCTTCATTCTTGGCCAGCCATCGATGACAAGGAAACACAAAATGTTCACTGTGAGCTGGCACGTCCACAGCGACTTCCTCCAGGAACCATCCTGGAGCCGAGCCATTGTTATCATGACCAATACGCAACTTCTGAACCTGTTAAAACCACGAGAAAGAGAATTAAAGATAGATCCACTTGGTCACTTTACAAATGAGAAGAAACCGGGCCATGTGTCATCCCGAAGGGGCTTGCGGGACCGTCCGTTACTGGGGACAAAACATAAGACGAGAAGCTATATTGGCCCCAGTAACGATCCCACAAGCGACTGCGAGATGAGACTCGCCCAGGATCTCTTCTCGTTTCTACAGTAGTGAATGATAAACTTGAGGACTGAGTACAAGCGCAGACCTACGGTAATACAGTCGAAGCTCTCCTAGGTGACCACCCCGGGTATTTTAGAAAACTAAATGTGACTGGAGATGAAATCAAGTTTGCGGCCATCCACTAAAATAGAGCATTTCACGGTTCTATTTTCATCCTGAAGAACGCCACATCCGAGAACAGAAACGTTATTCAGAACTAATTTACCTTTCCGACATCCACAGTTTCTACAATAAACTTGTCCACTCGTCCTTTCTCAAATCTCTTTTCTGCTTTGCCGCCTTGACGCAGCTGAATCTTCCCTGTGTCCCCTTCATCGCCAATAAGCTGGAAAAACACGTTAGCATCGGTGCCTGCTAGAGCCATCTCGCCTGTCTTGACTGCTAAGTGATAAGATGTGTCTGTGAAGAAAACGATAATATTCTTGTTCACACACCAAACCTGACTAAAATCGATTAACTCATTATAGCTTTCAAGAACAAAACTTACGTCTGTGAAAGAAAAAAATCAATCAAATAGCTAAGTTCTTCCTTAGATGCAGTGTAGATGAGTATAGCCGTATCGTGGGACTGACACAAAAATCAACTCCGGTGAACGCGAAATTCTAAACCTTTATCTTCGAGCCAGAGCACGTACAAAATCTGTTGGTTGTAAAACCTGGTTCTACAACTTTTCTGCGACATTTTTCTTTTCCTTTTCCTTAGAACATAAAACTACTGTAGAGCGGAACTGGACTCACAATAATGACATGCAAAACTTAAGAAACTTTAAAAATGTACGCATAAAATCGAATAATTTCTAGTTAACAAGAGAGGAAGATCTTAAGAGAGTTTATATTCCATATAGGCTTCACTGCCAATGTAATCCCTGTCAAGTTATTTTTAGCATGGCACGGCACTGCCCAGCTCATCCGCAGATACAATGTTCCCATAAGCATCGCGCGTATGTTTTCGTAGAGGATGGAAATGTGTGTAAAGCCTCTTGGAAGGCCCACGTTGAAAAATCACGTCACAGGGTTGGCCATTTCTAGACGCGCCCGGAAATTCCGAAACCGGGAGCGAGCTAAAAATAACTTGACAGGGATTACCTTGGGAATAAGGCCTATACGGGCGATGAACTCTTATACTCTTCATACTCTGTACAAGATTTCTCTCTCTGGACTGTATTTCCTTAAGATTCCGTAGGCTCTACTTCTAGATTACAGCTGCCTCAGACGAGGATTACACAGATTTCCTCGGATACGCTCGATACAAAATCTGAAAATGGCTTCTCCAGCTAAACAACAACATTCACGTGTTCCCGAAGGCACTTTCGGTCTTAAACAATGACGTCATCGCGTACATACTCTCTTGACAGAGCGATGCCCGAGATTTGAACCACAAAATTTAACAGCGATTATGCAGGTGTAACTCTGCAGAGATCTGCGGGTCGCTAAAACGTTTTTGATTGGTTTGAATTTTCATGCGCAAATCACAACCAAGACACAGTGCATAGATCTATGTACACCAACGTTATCGGAACTGAAGTATTCAGCATGAATCTCAAAATCCCTGCTATAAGAAAGAGCTGTTTGTTGACCCTAGAGTTCTTTCCACTATTGAGTCCATTAACAAGGTCACGCAAAAACCAGTTTCAATCTAAAGCAACAGTTGTCATGGTACCACTCACTTGGGCGTGGTGGTCTTGGCTGTCCAGGGAGCACATCTCTCTCTATTTTCTTGTCTCCTTTACCCTCCGTCAGCCAGCAGTAGCATGGAAAGATGGCGCGGTCCCCATCAGCAGGGGCTACTTCCACCTCTTCCACAAAGATGCCCTTCCCATCTCCTTTGCTGTCATGGCCAATGCGTAGTCTTTCAATCTGTAAGAAGGAAACATCACCTTGTGTTGTAATAACGAGGTCCAGTGACAAGCCACTTGGAACCATGTCACGGACACTTGTCTCCAGTTTTAGCCTGCGAGCAGGCTCTCGTATTTGGGCCAGGGGTGCGAGCGGTGAAGCCACGAGAAACACACGAAACTACAGAAGCCAGCGCGCGTAGCACACCTGCGAGTCTAGTTCCTAAGCGAGCGAAAGTCAGGAACTTGACTGAGCTGTGACACCCAACCATTGTGTTCATGGAATTTAATCATAAACGAAATACCAAACATAAAGGTGAAAGTAACAATGACACCTCATAAAGATTTACCTTTAGTTTTCACACTTTTCCACCTCTTTTTCTGCTCTTGCACATGACTTGTGAAATTGTACAATCTCACCTACAATACTTTTACCAGCCAATATGCCAATTTTAGAAGTTCCTAACCGCCTTCCCCGCCCCCCCCCCCCTTCAACAAAAAGGGGGCATTTGGATGCATGTACATTAACATACATACTTAAAATACTGAACTGACCAAGCAATTCTCCCTATTACAAGAAATGGCACTCTCAATTATTACTTGCTCAACATCAGAGAAAAGGCAATTCACACTTATGGCTAACCCACCTTTCCAATGTTCACAGTCTCTACAGTGAACTTGTAAGTTCTGCCTTTCTCAAACTTGTTGAGTGAAGAACCCACAGGTCGCAGCATAATTTTACTGGTTTCTCCTTTTTCACCAAACAACTGAACATACAGATTGGTGTCAGGACTAAGAACATCACCAAGTTTAACTGACATTGTGTAGGAGGTATCTGGAATAATATGATACAAATAACATAAGCTTCACTGAAACAATAGATTTAGCAGCCTTGTTTTATCAGGAATTTCAGTGTATAAATATAGGTTACTGACCAAGCTCGTTCGAACAACAAGGCTGAATATTGGCCAAGTTCTTTCTTTGCGTGTTTATGGACCCAGACAGAGTTGAGGAAAGAACAGGGTCAATATCCAGCCATGTTGACCGAACAAGCTGGGTCAATAAAGGATCTATCATACAGAAAATGAACATTATTTTCTCGCGGGACACAGCGAGTAATCCTGATTGGGCACTCTTGCCTGCTCAGGCAGCCAATCACAGTGCAGGATTCATCATCCTGCCTGCTAACATAACTAGCCATATAACCATGTTGTATATTTTAGCAAGCCCTTGTAAATTTTAGCAAGCCTGTGATGCAAGTTATATGCAGATGACTAATAAAAATGTAAAGCAGTAAATTGTCTAATATTATGAGATTCACTATCCAACATTTTACCCTACAATCAGATTTTGGGAAAGCTCCATGTAGTTTTTATGGCCTTAGGGTAAACCCTGATAGAGTCAAGTTTCCCTGTCGATGGGTAAACCCTGTGAAAAATATCCAATCAGCAGCACTACCCAAACACAAGTGGACATTCATCTGTGCTCAGACCACCTATCAACTGTACACAGTTTGAGCAGGGGTGAGAGTGGACTTGGATGCTAATTTTATCTAAACCATACAAAAATCATTTTCAGGTCTCAAGTTGGTATTCGTCAACCATGCCCAAACATATCAGAAATGGGCTATTCTGTGCAAAGAAATGGACCTCAGGTTGTTAAGGAGGAATCCACCAGAAGGTCGTGTAACAAGTGGACAAAGACCTTACAAACCTCTGTATGACTGTTTTGAATATCTTCAAAAGCAATCATTTCTAACAACACCAAATTGTCAGGCAACTATAAATGCCTTTTGCTTAAAATTACAAAAATGCTAAATGGACTGTTATGTACTTGAAAATTATCCTGGTACAGGGTTTTTTGTCCACTTAAGACTGAAATAGCTTGATTTCCTATCAGAGTTCATTTTAAAAATTGAGCTTGAACATTTCCAGTCATTATAACTCGGATAGAAGAAACATTTTAAATATTGACAACCACGAAACAGAGATTACTTACTTGGCAAAGGAGTGACTGCAAACATTTCCCTCTCAATTTTACCATCGTCAACATCCTGCGCTAGCCAACATCGACAGGGAAACTTGACTCTATCATGCCTTGCTGGGACCTCAACCTCAACCTCCTCCACAAAGAAGCCCGATCCATATCCAGTGTGGTCATGACTCAGTTTAATTCTGTCAACCTGTCAAAATAATAACATCATTGAAACAAGATATTTCAAAACCAGTGTAAAACATGGTACCTGTACTTGCTGATTTTCAGGGTGCAGCAAAAATATCGAGTCCGTTTTTGCACCACTTTTAGGCAAAGGTCCATAAGTTTGAGATGTTTGCTCTGCCTAACAGTTTGATGAACTTTAGCTTTCTGGCACTGTACAGTGTATTTGGCAACAGAAATCTAAAGTTCTTTGTGCATATTTGAATTTTAAACAGCACAATGAAAGCTCCATGAAAACTGAACGTTTTGTAGTTTACCAAGTGTTTTTATATCCTTCTAAATCCTCTTCACAGTCACCTTGAAAATACAAAGAAGTGGCTCCAATTTTGTTAACAAGTGCAAACAGCTGGGCTTACCACTGTCTACAACAGAATAGATAGCAAGTAGCGTAGCCACTATTGAAATGGCATTCATGATAAACACTATTAGATTTGTACTAAACGAAAATAATAATAAAACTGTTTGTGCTATGGATTGTACCTTGCCAATGTCCACAGTATCCACAGTAAACTTATAAGTCCTTCCTTTCTCAAACTTGTTCCTTGTGTCTCCTGCTTGTCTCAGTTGTATCTTTGCTGTATTGCCTCGCTCACCAAACAACTGAATGTAAACATTGCCATCAGTCCCAGAGCCCTTGACATCACCCACTTTTATACTAAGATTGTATGTGGCTGAAAAACAAATATCACCTGATTCACCAATAGACAACAATAAGTTATCAATGTCGTCGTTCCTAACGAAAGTAAGTTAACTGTGGCGACTTGCAACTGAACCAGAGCTACATGTATTAATCNCCCCCCCCCCCCTTCAACAAAAAGGGGGCATTTGGATGCATGTACATTAACATACATACTTAAAATACTGAACTGACCAAGCAATTCTCCCTATTACAAGAAATGGCACTCTCAATTATTACTTGCTCAACATCAGAGAAAAGGCAATTCACACTTATGGCTAACCCACCTTTCCAATGTTCACAGTCTCTACAGTGAACTTGTAAGTTCTGCCTTTCTCAAACTTGTTGAGTGAAGAACCCACAGGTCGCAGCATAATTTTACTGGTTTCTCCTTTTTCACCAAACAACTGAACATACAGATTGGTGTCAGGACTAAGAACATCACCAAGTTTAACTGACATTGTGTAGGAGGTATCTGGAATAATATGATACAAATAACATAAGCTTCACTGAAACAATAGATTTAGCAGCCTTGTTTTATCAGGAATTTCAGTGTATAAATATAGGTTACTGACCAAGCTCGTTCGAACAACAAGGCTGAATATTGGCCAAGTTCTTTCTTTGCGTGTTTATGGACCCAGACAGAGTTGAGGAAAGAACAGGGTCAATATCCAGCCATGTTGACCGAACAAGCTGGGTCAATAAAGGATCTATCATACAGAAAATGAACATTATTTTCTCGCGGGACACAGCGAGTAATCCTGATTGGGCACTCTTGCCTGCTCAGGCAGCCAATCACAGTGCAGGATTCATCATCCTGCCTGCTAACATAACTAGCCATATAACCATGTTGTATATTTTAGCAAGCCCTTGTAAATTTTAGCAAGCCTGTGATGCAAGTTATATGCAGATGACTAATAAAAATGTAAAGCAGTAAATTGTCTAATATTATGAGATTCACTATCCAACATTTTACCCTACAATCAGATTTTGGGAAAGCTCCATGTAGTTTTTATGGCCTTAGGGTAAACCCTGATAGAGTCAAGTTTCCCTGTCGATGGGTAAACCCTGTGAAAAATATCCAATCAGCAGCACTACCCAAACACAAGTGGACATTCATCTGTGCTCAGACCACCTATCAACTGTACACAGTTTGAGCAGGGGTGAGAGTGGACTTGGATGCTAATTTTATCTAAACCATACAAAAATCATTTTCAGGTCTCAAGTTGGTATTCGTCAACCATGCCCAAACATATCAGAAATGGGCTATTCTGTGCAAAGAAATGGACCTCAGGTTGTTAAGGAGGAATCCACCAGAAGGTCGTGTAACAAGTGGACAAAGACCTTACAAACCTCTGTATGACTGTTTTGAATATCTTCAAAAGCAATCATTTCTAACAACACCAAATTGTCAGGCAACTATAAATGCCTTTTGCTTAAAATTACAAAAATGCTAAATGGACTGTTATGTACTTGAAAATTATCCTGGTACAGGGTTTTTTGTCCACTTAAGACTGAAATAGCTTGATTTCCTATCAGAGTTCATTTTAAAAATTGAGCTTGAACATTTCCAGTCATTATAACTCGGATAGAAGAAACATTTTAAATATTGACAACCACGAAACAGAGATTACTTACTTGGCAAAGGAGTGACTGCAAACATTTCCCTCTCAATTTTACCATCGTCAACATCCTGCGCTAGCCAACATCGACAGGGAAACTTGACTCTATCATGCCTTGCTGGGACCTCAACCTCAACCTCCTCCACAAAGAAGCCCGATCCATATCCAGTGTGGTCATGACTCAGTTTAATTCTGTCAACCTGTCAAAATAATAACATCATTGAAACAAGATATTTCAAAACCAGTGTAAAACATGGTACCTGTACTTGCTGATTTTCAGGGTGCAGCAAAAATATCGAGTCCGTTTTTGCACCACTTTTAGGCAAAGGTCCATAAGTTTGAGATGTTTGCTCTGCCTAACAGTTTGATGAACTTTAGCTTTCTGGCACTGTACAGTGTATTTGGCAACAGAAATCTAAAGTTCTTTGTGCATATTTGAATTTTAAACAGCACAATGAAAGCTCCATGAAAACTGAACGTTTTGTAGTTTACCAAGTGTTTTTATATCCTTCTAAATCCTCTTCACAGTCACCTTGAAAATACAAAGAAGTGGCTCCAATTTTGTTAACAAGTGCAAACAGCTGGGCTTACCACTGTCTACAACAGAATAGATAGCAAGTAGCGTAGCCACTATTGAAATGGCATTCATGATAAACACTATTAGATTTGTACTAAACGAAAATAATAATAAAACTGTTTGTGCTATGGATTGTACCTTGCCAATGTCCACAGTATCCACAGTAAACTTATAAGTCCTTCCTTTCTCAAACTTGTTCCTTGTGTCTCCTGCTTGTCTCAGTTGTATCTTTGCTGTATTGCCTCGCTCACCAAACAACTGAATGTAAACATTGCCATCAGTCCCAGAGCCCTTGACATCACCCACTTTTATACTAAGATTGTATGTGGCTGAAAAACAAATATCACCTGATTCACCAATAGACAACAATAAGTTATCAATGTCGTCGTTCCTAACGAAAGTAAGTTAACTGTGGCGACTTGCAACTGAACCAGAGCTACATGTATTAATCAAATACAAACAACTTGTGATGGTGTTAATGGGGGAACACTGCCTTGCGTTTGGTTAGCTCATGTGACTTTCAGCGATAGGGTGACAAACAACCTCACTTATCTCCCCAGCACTACGAGCTGAATGACAGACAGCATGTGAGGGATCCGACAAGAGTATCAGTTAGCAAGCGATGTTCAAAGGCGATGAAAACAACAAGCTTGGGGGAAGTCGCTGTGCAGACTTAACCACACTACACAGGAGTGACCCTTTGTTTATTATGTGGGAATACATGACCAACTTCGTCTCCAAAGGGAGGGAGGGAGGGAAAATTAAACAATAAATTTACAATAGGTCATAGCTATGTTGCTTTGATGAACTCAAAATGGACTCTGAACAGTTGTTCAAGCTTTTATATGGAGACGTTCATCTACTGGTAAGCCAGTAGAAAAGGCTGTACTACCGAACAGCTTACCCTAGCCCATGTAACATCTTAAACAGGAATAGTGCTTTAATGCTTTGCACCAATGCTATGGTTCTTTATAACATTCTGAAGGCAACAAACCTACAATGTTTTAGGTTTAGCCACAATAAAACTTACAGTTTGCTGACCTTTGGAATACAACTGCTCAATACCTCTATAGAAAGCGATGCCGCCATAAACGGCTTATTGAGAACGTATGTCACGCTCCATTAACTATATTTTACTAGCATGACAGTAAAATCTCATTTTATTTATTTTTGTATTAATTTATTTAATTATTATTTGTTTATTAAAGCTTACAGTTTGCCGACCTTTGGAATGCAACTGCTCAATAGCTCTATAGAAAGTGATGCCGCCATGAACGGCTTATTGAGAATGTACGTCACACTCCATTAACTATATTTTACTGGCACGACAGTAAAATCTCATTTTATTTATTTTTGTATTAATTTATTTAATTATTATTAGTTTATTAAAGTTTACAGTTTGCTGACCTTTGGAATACAACTGCTCAATAGCTCTATAGAAAGCGATGCCGCCATGAACGGCTTATTGAGAATGTACGTCACGCTCCATTAACTATATTTTACTGGCATGACAGTAAAATCTCATTTTATTTATTTTTGTATTAATTTATTTAATTATTTGTTTATTCATTCATTTATTTAGTTATCTATTTATTTCCACATGAGCATGTAGAAGAATAATTAACTGATTGAATTTCAACGTTATCTACATATGCTAGGTTATTTCTGATTAAACCCTCCTGGAGAAAATAATTAACTGAAAAATAATTTTCTCACTTCAAAACTCAAAATATAAAATCTCCTTAGTTACTGCTCACTGTGTGAATTTCTTTTAAAATTAGTTGGTGCTACATCAAAGCAATATTCTCTGGTGATGACTGTCTTATTGTATTTAGAAATCTCATTTTGATCAGTGTTGGGAGTTAAAAGGGTTGCTCTGAATAAACAGAAGCCACCTGCCTTAAAACAGCAGAACAATCTACTCTGCCAATCCTTCAAACAATAGGAACTTTGAACAATGATGTTAGCACCTGTCATACTAGTTTCACAATTCAATTAGCGAAAGAAAATTTTCAATTTGTTTTTTCACACAAAAAAACATGAATTATAATACTAGTCAAAAATAATGTAATTTATTGTGAATTGTCTTTCAGAAGTATATGTTTTTTTGTGTAGCTGTCAAAAATAGTACTTTTTGTTATCATGAGTACACATATATTTAACTTCAGTGCTCAAAGAGTAAAAGAAAAGCTAAAGAAAATTAAAATACAATTGAAACATTTATAAGATACAGAAAGTCAATACCAAATTTCTTCAACAGTGTAAACATCAAAAACCAAACCTACGCAACTGTAACAACACAGTGTAAAACCATCTCTAACACAATGTAACTGCATTTGGTGTTGATTAAGTGTAAATTTAAACAGAATAGCTAGATCACAGAAACCAACAAGACAGTATCAATGAGTATACTCAACAAACATACTGTCACATGGGGCTTAAATCTTCACAACCCAGATGAAAAAAATTCATTCCTATTGAATCATTTTGGTCAAAATAAAGATACTGTTGATACACAAATACCTTTTGGTTTATCATCTGCTGCAACCAAGGGAAAAAACCTCATAAAAAGCGACTGGGCATTCCAAAAATCCATCTTGGATTAAATTCAAATTCCAACACAATTTTCTACTGTCATTAATTATTTAACAAAAGCCACTGATGAGATCAAAAAATAAACACCTCTAATTCAACTACACACCTGTCTTTAAATAGAACAATAAAGGCAACTGATGAGCAAAGATACAAAAGTCTTGGAGCCTTTTAAATTATCATTTTCGTCTTTCTTACTATCAACAGGCAGCTTAGGGTTAAAATGTTAATGGTTTTTATTGTCTTGCAACCTAATTCTGACCACATCTTCAAGAGTAGAATTGGATGAGTGTTCTAAAACATATTGTAGACACCACAATGTATGATGCCGTCAATTTATAAGAAGTATCCAGCATTGTAGACCAGAAGAGTAAAAGGTAAATAAATAGAAACTTTCCATAGTATTAATAATTTTAGCTCTATAATGAAATCATTTGTTTAATTACACACTGAAAGAAACTCTTGAAAAAAAAACAGCAATTCTGACTAATTCCATGTGCAACATGATCCCATTTACATCTTGCCACATCCGATGCTTTAGATTTCTCAAGTAAAATTGTGTTTACTTCATAAGTTCTCAAAAACCAAACAAAATTATTATAACAAAATGTAAATGTACGAATAATGATGTACGAAAGAAGCAAAAACAACATGACAAAGTACTCCACATGTGAAGTTTCTGACACTAGCCAACACTGTGCTAGCCAACATATAAAAAACATGCATTAGGAGATGTCCCCCTCTTGCCCTGAAGCACATTTATTAAAGATGGTTTCCAATCCATACTGCGCAGTCTCAACACCTCAATGTTTGTGATGAATCAATGTTATTTGTTAGGAACCACTTACATTATCTTTGGGACATTTTAAATTCTTTTTCTAGCGGTTTCTTTGCTTTTTACAGCCATGAAGTCGTTTTATCAAGTGATGTCAGAAAGAATGAAGTATTGAAAACTTTGCATCCTTAATGGTGGCTGACATGAAATTTTGAATTCAATTCATGTAACTAGTTGCAAAATGTTACATTTTGTGACATCTTGCATGACATCAAAACATGAATCGTACACAAACTCTCGAGAGTGCACAGTACGGACTGGGAATCATCTTTAAGGGACAAAAGGTTTCCAGGTGTACAGGTTTCCCAATCAGAATATTTATTATTATAAAACACTCTGGGTCCCTACATGTGAGCTAGACTATTTTAAGCATTCTCAAGTACAGAATTACTTAATATTAAACTTCTTGTCACAGTTAAATTTTGTAGTAAATTTTCTAAAATTTGCCTCAGGGATTTGATTTTCTAACACTGAGAATGTTTCTTCCTGGCATGATGAGACTATTGACTTGCATACTTGACATAATTTTATAAAAAAATCCAGTGAACAGGGTGCAAAGAAAACCAATTTTCAGGCTTGCTTGGGTAAGCTCAAACTATGATAGATCCTAGCCTGAAAATCCTTCTCACTAACCCCCAAAAGTTCATCTCTCACAGTGCTTCTGAAATTTGAATTTCCTGAAAACATTTTCACAAGAAATCCTGTGACAAGGACAGAATCAAGTAGCTGGACTGGAAAATCCACTAGCCCCTGGTTATCAGACATGACTTATTAAGCTAAAAAGCATTTTCAAGATGCTGTTCAGTTAACAAATAATACTCGACGTAATTATAACTTACTGCTTTGTCGTCCAGATGCACTTGATGTCCGTGGTATAGTAGTTGATGATGATCCCCTGGGTGTGGAAGATGTACTACGTGGTAACGACTGACTGGCCAGTCCATAAGGTTTAGCACTGACTGAACTAGACTGAGACGAGTGCCGTGAACCTAAGCATAAGAAAGAAATAGTTACCTTTATTACTGTAAATTGCAACATAGATACACATGTCAGGGCTGTCAATAAGTTTTGAGTCCACTGTTTTCTTGATCTTCCCACCCAAAACAAACTTACTATCTTTTAGGTGAATTGTATTAGCCATAGTCCAGTTGACCCGGAACATCAACGGCCCATCAAACATACTCAGGCCTAGCAGGTGTTATGGGTTATGGCCCTTATTGAGAGCCCTGCAATTCAGAAGCTACATGTACAATTGTACACTGTATGGGCCCAGTGCCATGTGTGGGTTGAGTTTTTTGTTGGTTCTTGCCTTCTCCAAGATTTCTCTGAGTACTCTGGTTTTCCTTCCTCCACATAAAACAACCTCTCCAAATTCCAATTCGACCAGGATAAAGGACCCACATGAAACCAGCTGAGGCTGATGTGGTTTCCTCTCTAAATATTGCAATTTATTTATTTATGCCTGTCACCTGTTGGTGTCTGGTAGCCATCTGACAAGTTCCCAGGTGGATTGTTAGCAGTGGGTGTCCGCCTGCCATCACCTGAACCATAACCAGTTTGGCTTCCTGGACTGTAAGGTCTTCGGTAATCCTCAACAGAAGAATGCGATCCAGGGCCACGCCGTCCAGCTGACCGGTACTCATCACCCGGAACATACTGCTTTGTTATTGGCGTAGGCGTGTTTCCATTCACAGCTTGGTTGTCAAACGTATATCGCTCTACTGTAGTCTGAGCACTGCCAGGATCATATGTATCTTGTACAACCTTTCCATCCACAGTACGTAGTGTGTGAACTTCTGTCCGGGTGACAACTTTCTTAACTGTCTGTCCTGGAGTAAGATCTGAAAAAGGACAAACCCAAGGTTGAAGTACATTGTATATATACTTTGCCAGCTGATTGCTGCACATTTATCAGAACAGTTTTTGAGAATTTAATAGTACATTGAAACAATACCGCTTAGCTGATGATTTAACATTGAATAAACAATAGCTTCCATATGGCACGAGAACATGGTCAGATATTTGTCTGCAGATGGTATCTGTTCCTGGAAGCAAACAGTTTCCGAAAACCTAGTGTAGCTTTGACTCTGGTCAGTGTTGCCCATAATTATGGGAGGTGTCTTTTAGTGTCTATCAGTGAATCTCTGTATTTATTTTAAGAGTGTACACACTCAGCAGCATACATCTACAAATAACAGAACAGGCCACACAGATTTTCAATCTGTAACCAATAATCTACACCTTTAAGTACTAACCAGCCTCCATGAGATCTTTTTCCCAGTCTTGGTTCATAAGTGCATTAGAATGTGATCCAGGTGCTGCGGCAGTATTTCCACGATCCATTCTCCTGTCATACAGAGGGTCCTGATCATCCCTACAAACAAATTAAACATGTATTTAACATACAAATGTTTATATTAAGTGACTCAAACTTCCTGGTGTGCTGAAAAAGTCAATATCATTACCATGGGAGAACAACTGTGTATGTTTCACTCTCGAGTTTCATACTCCTACATGTATTATCAAAAATGCATTTTCTCATCTCATGGTGCATCATTATATCAGGGTTCTACTGTTATGCCACCAGATGAACAAAGACCACCTTGAGGCTCATGGAAGACAAAGAAAGGAACAAAGCTGGCTCAAGACTCCAGGTAGAGGTACAAAGTGCAGTAGAAGACAGAGAAGAATGGAGACGCTGCTCTGTCGAGGTGTTATATGACATCCAGTCACAAAAGAGATAGGTGAAGGTGAAGGACTGTTATGTAATTGTATCCTAGTTTAAACAAGTTAGTCTCGCAAGCCTGAATTATAAGCAACTCTTCTGCAATAAACATTTCATCTTGGAAATAAGTTGACCATTACACAGAATCCACAAGATAAAACAGAATCACTAAGAGTGTTGATAAACAAATCCTGAGTCGTACCAGTTTACATCATGTACAAGACATTCACATCACATTATTCCATTTCCATTTAACCATTAATCAGTCACCATTTATTTTATACATTTTAATTACATCTACACTGTACACTCCACATCTTTCTTTAAAATACAAATCTAAAATGATCGGCAGCAGTTAAATAGATGTAACACCATGTCTCTAATAAAATATATTCTTGACAGTGAACTGTACACATAGTGTGAATTGTTCACACTTTTTTGTTTTATTTGAGGCTGCCTTTTCTTTTTGTGTAAGTAATATTAATAAAGTAGAATTAGCATTCTCGTAGCTATTTTGAATTATAGTTACATAAGACTGTGTTTTAAATCTAAAAGAGTCTCCTCTGCCTATTTCTGTTAGAAGACAAGTATTATTTCCTTAACATTTTACCTTTCAAAATATCAACATCAGGATGAAAGCTGTACACCAGAATGGGAAAACAAACTGTTCCCCACTGAGAAAAAAGACCCACTAAATCTAACCAAGACTGCCACCAAAAAAATGCCAATAGGTGAATTTGTACAGTTCAACACAAAGCAAACACAGTCACTCAGATTAAATTAAAATCTCACCTATGGGACAATGTTACTGACACTGTTATTGTGAGTTCTTTCATTTGTTTCTCACTGCATGAGATGTCAAAGTCACAATTTGTATAAACAAAGAAATCCATGCTTTTCTACTGACTGCGGTTAATTCAATCAAGGATTAAAACAGAGACCAAGGCCACAAGAAATAATACTGTGAAAGCCAATGCATGTGAGCTGTCATGTGGAAACTGCATTATATAAGTTATGAGAATGTAAGTAGGGTATTATTTGTTTGAAACAATTTTTGCACCTGTCATGGACTTCTTTTAAAAGAAGATTGTTCTTGAGTACTTAATTGTCTTTTGTTTACAGTGTTTGCAGTTTAATTCGTGAACTCTCAAATAGCTTCTGTGGAAGGCAAACTGTACTGGTACGAAACTTTATGCTTCATTATTTATATACTCAGTCTAAAAAAAATTGAATTTTGTTTCCTTCATTTCTAGAAGAATTTCTAGTTTAACTTTTAAAAGGTTGATTAGCATGCAAGCTCAATTTAAATGCTGACAGTTAATTAAGAAGGAAGTCAAGTCTAAAACTCGGCAAGCTTCATAGTATTTTAAGTTCATTAAAGTACAGAGAAAATTATGCCACAATACGTACCTTGAATCAGAGAGGCCTCTTTCCTGAAGAACTTTCCTGAAGACAAAAATGCAGAAAAATCTCAGAACAAAGCACAAACATTATAACTACGAAATCTGGATTGCATGTCTTCAATTCCTAATGGAAAAAATTACGAGTAACATCCAAGATCTTCCCTAATATGGCAAAAAAATTCTTCCCAAAATTAAATAATTCAAAATACACATGTACACAACAACTCTCTTCTGGTCAAATTTGTGACTTAGGATCTTAAATTATAAATAACTGTTGGTAAGTTAGGTTTTTTTCTTATGTGAGAAAACCTTGAAGTGTTTTATCAGTCCCTGCAAATTAAAATGTCACCACATGTCAGTACAAAATGCATCATCTTTATTATATTTAAATAAGATAAAAAGCACTTGAACCAAGGTAAACATTATTCATAAGTACTTTCCAAGATGACCTCAAAACATTCCACGAACCTCAAAATAGCAAATGCCATCTAGCAAAGATTGATATCCATCCAGACATTTTCACCGAGTAGCATTTGTATCACATAGAGTATTTTACAAAACATAATTTATAAGCTGGCTTGTCCTCAAAGATGTATGGATGATAACACCAAAATGAGTAATCAACTCATGATAAAAATAATGTGCCATGGAAAAACAATCTTCCAATACATGGATGTTTTGTCAGACCAGAACAGCAAAAAGATTGACCCGTAACAATCTGCCTTTGACAAAGATGTTGTAGGTGTTTGTACCACATCCAACTAAATATCACTCCTGTTGACCTTTTGACAGGAGTCTTTTAAGTTTCTCATAATCTGTGTGTACTTAAAGACATCATGATCAAGACTTTCTTGTTAAACAAGCCAGAAGATTGTCAAACCACAGAATACAAGTTGCCATGGAATGGCCTCCTTTCTGCAAGAATGGCACAACACACAAAGGATATACAATATTAAAACAATGCACGAGGTGGATTAGCATTCCCTCTAGACAATAAATATTCCAGAAACAAAGAACATGCAAAAATTTATTGCAAATGATTTGCATAGGTACATTTTGAAGAACATGTATCATGTCAACTGGAACATTGATTATTTACAAAATTTCTTTGACATGGACATCACTTACTCTGTACATGGTATGTACAAAGTTATGACTTGTGTGGTGGCTTGGTAAACAACAAATAAGGCACAATTTGAAGATGGCTATGGTATGTGCATTATTGCTTACATTCTAACAGTGAACTAAATTGTACAACACTGTTTTTATCATTGTAAAATATAACTAGTCTTTTTACGTGTGTTATGTGCTAGCTTTACCAAAGAAACTCTTAGCCAAGCTACAATTAGGAAGTGTCAAAACATGTGCACTGAACTTTAACAAATACTATTGTTAGAAACTTGTCCACAAAATTAATTCTACTTAGCCTTAATCTTTCAATTCCCAGCTGATTAACTTTGCTTTTAACCTTTTCACCCAAAGAATGGCCATTTTCAAAACTGAAAAGAAAACCCCATATTTTTTTAAACTTCTGCACAACAAATAGGACCACATGAATCACTACCTTTCATTTGAATGGTCACACACTGAGGTTTCATTTAATTTTTAAGGTCCCCCACTAGACCCAGAAACTGGGATAAGCTCTGGCCTGATGGGCCCCTACTTGGCCCGTATTTGTTATTAATCGCACCTTATTGGTATGCTTCAATGGCATATCAGGCAGGTTTGGTCAAGCAGTGATTTATATCTCGGCAAGACGTAAGGTTTCAAGCCAAGTACCAATGGAAAAACCAAACCAGGTATGTACACTTTTATTTACAAATATATCCAAATTTGCCAAAAGCTCCAGAGATACATTTTTTATAGTTAACAGCAATCTGTCAGGCGCTAGTGCACACCAGAGTAGTTTGATACCTTTAAAGCCCTGGAAACACTCAATATCCTATTTTTAAAACCTGTTTAAAAATTGCTTCCCTTTCAAGTGACTATGAATTATATCATAGTGGCTACAATATATCAGGTCAGTGATTTGATATATCAGAGGATTTCAGGGCTGTACACGTGGCAATCAATTGGTAATCATATTTATAGCTACTCTTGAGGCATTCTACAAGGATTTACACCACAGTAATAATTTCAAATTGCACTACATGCAATTGACAACTTTACATGTACATGCATCAGATATTGCCAAACAGCTCCATACCGCAACTGGGTAACAAAATTAACACTAACACAGCACAGATTTAGTATTTGGTATTTGATAACACTGTGCTTGACTGCACAGTATATCAAAAATAATCATAGATAGGGCAGACAGTGCACTTTGTCATACCTTAACTAAGATAGCTATATATACATGTATCAACCTGAAACTCAGATAAGATATATGTAAATCACATATCTTTGTATAATATTATTGCTCGCCTATTGCTATGATTGCTGGGATTGCACAAAACAATACTTGTCAGGGTTTTTCCAAGTGCAGTAAATTTTACACCATCTCAGATTTTTTTTCTTCTATGCAAAATTTTAAACTATCAACTACAGAATACGTTGGAAATAATAAAAGCAAATTCTGATGCAAATAATTTGAAAAATATAACATTCCTGACCAATACATCATTTAAAGAAACATAATTTTCTGCCTTATGCCTTTCAGTTGACTTCAACACACACATTGAACATAAGGCACATAATTGTGAACACAACTCAAACCCAAATCTGTACAGTGTTAAAATTCAAAGCATTTGAGCAGCTGATCAAACATTCAACTGTTTTTCCTCTCCTGCAACTCATGAATATTTCAATCATTCAGAAACCATGCTCACAGGAAATCTTGTGTTGAAACTGTCTGTGACACAGTTTGGTTTTACATTTTAGTACCAGTACATGTATGCTATTTTCAATTCCCTTAAAATCCAATTTATTTCCTCGGTCAGTTCCATATAGATAAGTTGTTAAGTAACAAGAACGACATCACTGCGTTTTACTTCTCAGTGTGATAAATCCTTAATTTCTTTAGACTGAAATATTTAATGTCATGTGCTCTCCACTGGGTTTCAAATGGAACTTCAAAACAATTATAATAAACAATCTCAAAGTAACATTTACCTTAGTTTGTAAATTTTTGTTGTACATCCAAAATCATGATAAGAATTCACATTATACTGAGTGCAAAATCCTTTGTTTTTGTTATTCAAATGAGGCCAATCTATAATTTATTAGATGTATCAGATTCTGTTTGCAATTTGTTTCCACACATGAATGAACATTTCTAGTTTTCCCAAACCTCAGGTGATAATCATATAATGGAGATAAATTAAGGTAATCAAGGGCATGTCTACACATACATGTACATGCAAAATATGTACAGTATGAGAAAACAGAGATCCATTTGATAAAAACACGAATTAAAAATATTTTTGAGATATCCACATATTGGTTAAAAAATAACATAGTTATTACTAGCAGTACTATTTTTTACTTATTAACCTTATAAGTATGAAAATGCTTCAGATATTTTTACAAATTACCTAGTGCATAGTATCATTGTATTTTATTACATTTAATCATAAAAATTACAACTTCCTTGATTTTGATTGGTTTACAAAACTCCAATTCTTTGGACTAATTCACTTGCCAAGTTGTTATCGGACAGTTTGTTATCAGACAGTTCAATAAGCCAATCACATTCAAAGTTGTACATGTAGTTTAATTCAGCCAATCACATTCAAAGTTGTAATTTAACTCAACCAATCACAACCTTGGTCACATTTAAACAATTTACACCTTCTTTGTCAGTCTTTTAATGCAAATTTTCCCTTTCTTTCATAACTTGCCTATTCTTCTTTTCTCAGAAATTGTAATTTTTATGATTAATTGGTAATAAGACTTCATGTCGTCCAATTCAGTCTGTAATCATACTCATGACAAAAAAAATAGGACGACTGCGCAGCAGGAGTCCAATTTTGTTATCACTCATACGATTACAGACTGAATTAGACTCCACTCAGTCCTATTACCATTATTTATATATTTAACTTATTACGTTATCTATTTTACTGTATTATACATGAACTGTATATCTTATTACAGGTACATGTATATTACATTTTCTACCAATTCTATAACCACTAAAGGTAGAGTTTATTCAACTTAATTTAGATTTTCCATATCACCAATGAATCTCAACATATTAAATAGCTGTCCATCTGTTATGAGGAGTACAAAATCGTAGAAACACAAAACTTGTACACACATTCCACCATATTTCAATCAGATATCTGTAGTTTAAAGTTAAATGCTCCCACGTCAGTCTCCCAGGCAGCAAAGGAACATCATCAGATGCTAAAATTGTACCTCAACTCACTTGTGATTAACACCAAAAAATATTTTCCAGGCAAAAAGGAATTAAGTAACCTAAATAACACACCAAGCAGGTTGTAAAATTAGTGTCACATAATATTATGTGGTTTCGTATCAATTTTTAAGAGAAATGAACAAAATTAACAGATACAAAGTGGACACCAAAATAACGCATGCCATACTACATGTCAACAATGGCAACCATTTCCATAAATATACAAAAGACTCAAACTCCAAAGTTATGAAATTTCAAATTCCAAACAAGCAAATTCTAGTAATTGCTTTGTACACACAGTACGTTATTTGCATGCAGCTGCCAGGCAAACCGCCTGAAGGTACAAAATTGTTTATCACTGAATAATCACCAGGTATACTTATCCAATTTGTAAATACAGCACATACACAACTCTCCCAATATACATGGCCGTGTAATAGCCAGGATGTGTATTTTTTTTTTTCTTTCATCAAGACTCTTGTTTACATGTATTGAATGCTTGCCTTTTTTACCTGTTACTTTATCTTTTGTTTTCTTTCCTGATCTGCTATTATCTGATGGCAACTCAACACAAAACACTTTATGCAAGCAACAACATCTGCATGCAATCATTGCCAAACAATTTCAATTTGGCTAAGGATTGTCAGTGGTGTTCTGTAATGTTGTGTAATGTGCCATTAGGTGTCCCGCTTTCAAAACACGTCAATCAAGGCCACAAAAATGCAACAGGGTCCATTTTACAAAAGGAGATTGCCAAGAATAGACATGTGGAAAAATTAAGCTTCAGGGGTTCTGCATTAAAATACACCTGTCCAGTATTCTTGATTATTTAATTCTTATATACCGCGAAGTCAATATTCACATTTTGACAAATGCATTAAATTTTGCTACAGACTCCAACTCACAAGCATGAATCAACTAGAGCTGATCCACTAAGCTGGCTCTCGTTGTCTGAGAGATCCTGCTCATCGCCAATACTTCCTGGACCTTCATTTCCACGCCACACAAAGGAATCGTCTGTAGAGCTGTCAATGCAAAAAACATACAATCAGTCTGTTACTGATGTTGTCAACTGGCATAGAGTAATGCAAGTCATTTTGAAGACATTGGTGACTGAACACAAATAAGAGCAATATTAAAATGCTACAAGTAACATCAAAATTATAATCATCTAAACTTCCTTAAAATAAATATTGTTTATTGGTAATTATAATAATTCTTATAGACAGGACCCTGCGCACACTCTGATTGGTCAAAAACCCATGTTTTATTGTTTTTCGCCACATAATTACATTTACTTCTCAATCATAAAGCAAATGAAGAAGCCTAAGCCGTGTATTACACTGTAATAAAACACTCCGGACATTTGAGAACTCTCGAGAAATGGAGAAAACACTCACCTGCAACTCATGTTTTCTACATTTCCCTTATGTTCTCAAATGCCCGTCGTGTTTTATCACTGTAATACATGACTTAGGCTTCTTTATTTGTTAATGAAAGCATACATGTGTATATATTCATTGAATTTAATATAATAAGAGAATTTCTCTTGAATTTTTTGAACCCCTTCAAGCAGTTTGCTTTTATCAGTCACTGATATAACACTTTAGGTCTGGTCTTAAACCATAAAAATGGACTTTTTTTTTCTCACAAAGGAAGTTGCTCCCCAAGTAAAACAAAAACTGAAACTTCTCTAAATATTCAATTCTGTGATAAATGCCCAGGATGTAGAACTCTACAGTACAAAAGGCCTCCAGTCCTATCAGTCTGATGTTTGAGCTATAGTTTACAAAGAGCAAAATATAGATGTATTTTCATTTGTATTTAGGTGACCACCAAATTGGTAAGCTTTAAAATTCACTCAGAGACTGATCAATATACTTTTTAAAGCTTATAACTGAAGAAAAGTGCAACGTAATTTTAGCCCCAGAACATGCAAGTTCCAAGTGATATTTACTGTCAAGATATATGTGAATTTCTTAGTTAACGCTTGACCCAAGCCAGTTCCCCTGTATCACATGCAAGATGATTGTACAACAGTGTCATAATTTGTATCCTAAACAGAACAGATGTTTTTAAATCAGAGACCAAGGTCATTGGCTCAAAACTTACACTAATTAGAGCTGTTTGATAGGTTTTCTATCATTTTCCTTCAGAACAATTAGATTTTATCAAACAATTTGTTCCGGAGACAATCCTGAAGGCACCCCAACCCTACAATTTGATTTGGAACTGATTTTTTCTTATAAAAAGAATCATGAAAAGATACTGGGTCTGTGAAATAAAACACTGCTATGCCAAAGAATAAACGTAAGGTTACTGGATCCTCTGTGTAACTGATCACACACCACATTGATTATAGAGTAAATCCCTTCACTTATCTCTGCGGCTTTCTTCACCCTGTGAAACAAAATACCTCATTTGCCTCTCAAGAGTGTTAATTAAAACAGATGAACATGGCTTCTTACGTGGTAAGGATCACAAGGGACACACATTTTTCTTTGACTTGACAGTCACAGTAAAGACTGCTGTAGCAAAAACTCTGTTTAATTTCAAATTAAGCCTAATTAAGCTGCTAAATTCAGTCACAGAAGTTGAAATTATGAATATTTATGCATTAATGCTGGACTGGCTTCCTGTTTTCAATTGAGCTTCAAACAACTGGGTGATGGTAAATGTATACTAACTAGATTGAAATCTGAAAGTCCTGCTCATACTCTATTTCAAAGCCAATAAATTTCTTCACACTGCCGCAGAATAATATGAGCCAGAAATACACGTATTATAATACAGAGTTCTGGATTGTAAAAAAAATTTTCAAAGTGCTTGTGCCTCAACTCAGTCATATTGCAAAAGCAAACTCTATTTTTTTCTGCCTTCAGTGAAATAAATGACAAAACCAGATGCGCAACTTCATGTTGTTTTGGAGACTGTAGCCACTTTCATTATAAAAGCATCGACATCTATTCAATTGTGTAGCAACATAACCTTATGATACAAGAGATTGACAAGGTTCTACATCATTCTACAATGTACATACAAACTGCCATTACAGTAAATGTATATGTGATACAAACGTATGTGGGATTGTCACTGGATAGGATTTATATTTTCAGAGAAAATGGTGTGTCTAATAAAAATGTGAAAGAGGGTTTGGGAGAAATTTTCAAAGTTTAGGTAAACCAAGGCCTTAGGTAAGGGTGCATACATTAAGCAGCTTCAAATTCTTCCAAAATGTTCTGGAGTGCATGCATTAGGTTATGTCAACATGAAGATGCCATTTTATACATCTTTTATAAAACAAAAGCAAAATTAATACAATGATAAGGTTCGACCATGTTTAAATAGCCTCATGCAAAAACAACTAGATAACCAATCAGAATGAAGGGTTTGTGATCAAACTTTTAAATAATAAGTATAGCAATGCACACACTATTTAAATCAAAAAGAAATTTTTGATGGATCATCACAGATTTGGGAAATATTTAGTTCAAAATATTATTGCTTGCCTATATTTCTACCACTTTTAATAAAGAGCAGAAAATTCTGATGCCAATCAAAATTAACAGCTGAATATATTATTTTTCTTTTTGTCCCTTAACTGAATTTGCAGCCTGAAATAACTTTTCAATGTGCAGTCTTTATATCTAAAATTTACAAAGAAGGATTAATAACTCTGATCATTGTTTCTTAACCTTTCAATATGAAATAGAGGTTAATTAAGCTGGTGCAGTGATAATTAAATTTGTTCCTATCAATGACTTTAATCAAGAAGAAAATAATTTTGGACAAATTTCATCAATTTTTTTTTATCCTAGCCCTGAATAAAATCAGTGGATCACTCCAGTGAGTTAAGAACTTAGGCTAGAAACCATCTGGGAAAGTTTAATCTATTAAAACTGTCAACAATTTGACACCTCAGTTAAAATATTTCACACTTCAGAACATTCCATGTGTAAGACCGCAAAAAGATACATTACCGTTTTAGACCAGAGACAGGAAAAGAGATAAATTTGGCCGGGTTACAAATAGATTGCAGCTAAAACAATAGTTCCACGGGAAAATGCTGTTCTATTTCCGTTAGTTCATCAGGGACTTGGCACTTGGAACAATTTTACTAGAACAACAACAACAAGGAAAATTGTAACCAGCCCCATAAACACATCGTTTGGAAAGCAATGAAAACATCGTGCTTTTCTGTAGAAACATCGAATTGAGCAGGTATAAATTAAAAAAAGAGACTTTTCCAAAATAAAATTTCTTACATATCAAGAGCTTAGCTTAATGAGCCAAGATTAAGCTTAAGTTTTTCACACTAAAGTTGAAATAGATCACTACAGTTCTAATTCCCCACGCGCGAGCTGAAGCTTGTATTGAGAGTTGAATGGAACGAAATTACAACAGATCACATGTGATAGTAGTGATACGAGCAAAAATACTTTACAGGAAAGAGAAATACCACAAACTTTGATTGATAAACTCAAATCGGACAGCTCTTTTTTTAAATAAGAAAGTTATCTATAGAGGTTTACGATGTTCGGTTGAGGAAGGCAATGTACGTCAATCTTTTAACATGCAAAGTTCTCGTGGATAGTTTTGGTTTAGTTTAGTGTATCTAACCAAGATCCAAAAGTATCCTGTCCTATTCCATGACATTCTCTACTATGAACAATAATTTAATCAAACACCGATTGAACGTTCTTTTAAAACGATTGTCACCTTTTGCCACCGCCGCTTTGAGCGAAAGCAAATTATTGAAATCGGTTTTCGACCATCTAATACCGTAATGGTGTGTTTTCCATAAATTTCAAGCAATTTGCCATCGCATCTTATGATTAACCAGGCTGCATATTACAGATCCCGATTTTTCTACGCACCACTATGATTCGAAGGGTAAAGCTTCAAGATGAGCTGAGAAAGGTCTCCACAAAATTCAAATTACAAACAGCGCTACATGCAACGTGCAATATATTACCTTCCCATGGAGCTCACACTTGCCGTCTCCGAGCCATATTTGCACTGCAATATAACAACAAGTGACGTTAAATCCCATTAAAATTTTGTCGCCACTGCATTTGTCGTTCTTCAAAGTCGAAATAGTTCAACGACCGAGGGCATATCCCATCAGATCAATTCCCTGCGTGAACTCCGTCAAGAAATCAAAACAAATGCTCCATACCTTTTCTAACTGGTGTGCAACGTTTCGACGCTCTTGCTCCAGTTCTCGAGAAAGCAGCTCAAAGTGGGCTTCCTGTCAAAGAAGACAAAAAAAAAGTGGAGTATGTTTACAAGCTCTATCGCTAATTAAGCTCGCGTTCAGTTCGAGAACGGGAAATGAGGTTCACGGGCTTGGAGTTAACCAAACCCAAGTACTGTACTAATTCGACCTCAAAGTCCACGAAATAACGACGGCATCCACAGATCCAAACATCATAATCAACTAAAAAGGATGTTGATGATTTCAATCACATTAAACTCAATTTAAAGGCAGAAAATATAGCTTACCTGTTGTCGTACTGAACGAAGAAGGCTTGCAGCGGAGTCTTCGTTGTAGTCGCGTCCGCGAAACGCCATCGTCGAAACTAGTTCACGTTGATAAAATGGCGCACTTTTACGAGCAAACCAAAGCCAGCGCTTTTAGGTTGCTTCTTTGAACGATGTTATGTTCAAAAGGGCAACCAAAAAGTCAGATTAAAGTGCCGAAAAACTCAAACGATTCCGTTCCGTACGAGATATTTTTCTGACGCGGTGACAAACACTTGTCCTTCTGACCCTCCCACGGGTTTACCGGTTTTCAAACTTGTCAGTCAAATCATCAGTTGCCATGACGATATTTCCCGCGTCGACCACGTACAGGAAGAAAGAATCGTTCAGAACAAAAGCAAAGAATTTTTCTTCTTCCGCGAAATGAATGATGAGCTCTGTTTCATTACATGTAAGAATCTTTCATCTAAAGCTGATTATTCTCGTAGACGTAACATTGAAAAACGAACGACGATTTAACCAATCTAAAACCCATATTTTTCCGACTAAATTTCTAGCGTTGGTTTTTTGTTTGACGGTTTGGCTGTTTCGATTTCTCTGGAAAACTTTCTCCTTGTTTCACGGTTTAAAAAGATTCCCTGACATTAAAAAGCTTTAAAAGTACCTCCGATGTTATATACGCAATCAGGACTATCAAGGTGGAGCCCAAAGATGGAACAACAAAAGTGTTTTGGTAACAAAGGTCACAATGGGGAGGGATTTGAACACAAAATAATCTTTGTTCGGTTCTATGGTTCCGCTTTTAGTTTCATAGAAACTTCTCGTTCGATAGCATGTATACAACATGCAATCATAAACGACGAAAGATTTTAAACGTGGCGTTTGCTGTGCCTATGGTTGTTTAGTGTAAGATTATTTATTGCTGTTTGTGTGAGCAAAATTTGCCCCACAGGAAATCACGACTTTACTTTTCCAATGAAAACTAAGAACGCACTAAACTCATATGTTAACAAAAAATTAACGATGAACCAATCAAACAATTGAGAGATCTAACAAATTAATTTAAAGTAATATAGCTTTTCGTTTTGCAACAAAAGAATTCGCGTTATGGTCATATCACCACGTTTAATCTCGACACCAGCCTAATTGGGGCAGGAATGTTGAAGGGTCAAATGTTTTGTTTGGGTGAGGCAGTAACGCAAACGGTTTCGCTTTATGATTTCTTTCTGTTTGCGTTTTCTCGGCCGGAAAATGATTTATCTAACCCAAGTCGTTTTAAATTCTTCGCAATTTGCGAGTTCTGTCGCAATTAGTACTTGATTACCTGGGGCGGGGGGGGGGACGTTTGAAGTATTGTAGCTATAAGAGTAAATAATTGCTGTCTGATAGCCTTTGAGCAATGGCAACGGAACGTGGCTTAAAAATCACCCCCTGGGTTTATTTAGACCGGACAGCTTGACGAACAAATCTATTACGAGAATTCACGATTGACATCGTTTGTTGCCCTTATATTGGTTTTGCGGTATCTCTGAAACTCAAGAGAGACGAACATTTGCATATATAATACCAATACAAAGAGAAATATTTCCAACAAATCTAAGGAAAGCATAGTCTGAAAGAAAACCTTCAAACCAACTAGAGCCAATATCAGTAAACAAAAATATGACGCGAATGTCCGAATCCCAACCAAGCAGGCAGGAAATTTAGATCTTCGATCTGAAAATTTTTTTCCGACATCATTAACGTGCCTCGAACAGACATGTGTGATCGGCTTTTGAAAACAGTGGGAAAAGATTTCGTAGAATTCAAGAGTGAAATGCCTCGTGAAACTTTTGAGGAAACTCATTCAAATCATTAGCTTGGTTTATCTTGTCAGAATGAAACCGATTGTTTTGCATACGAAACATGCAAGGAATATTTTTCGTAATATCAAAGCAAACACCAATTCAAAGTAAGGGATTTACTTGTTTAGCTATGAGTTACTTGAAATGTTTGCGTTCTGAAGTCCTTCGATCAGAAGAAACAGAACCCAAGTTGTTTATCAAAAAACAGAAATTTTCACCGTCAAAACACAGCTACCAAAACGACTAGGCGAACGAAATACGAAATCTTCTGATATTCTGTTCACGTGTATGAATTCGTATTTCTACAATACAGGTTGTAAAAGCCGTTAATCAATAGCTTAGCGACACCAACATTCTACAAAGACAAGAAAAACGCCATGATAACTCACCTAGTGGGATCTGGAAGCTTGTTTGTATTACAATGGCGTGATTTCCTTCACATTGGCTTCGATACTCCGTGCTTGTCACACAAATCACGCAATGACCACGAGTCGAAGTGGATGCCACTTTGGCGCGAAAATTTCCCACGAGATCGTGATTTCCACAACAGCAAAATTTTATGCGAATGTCCCCAACCCTCGCAGGAAACAGTCGTAGAAAGTAATGAAAACGAGTGTCGCCGTCGAAAACTAGTCCGAATATGCAAATCAACCGAAAATTATATGCAAACCTTCGACGTAACAAAGCCGTTTAATTTTCACCGTCATCGGCTGGTGAAAATGACACTTCAGATGCTAACCAATGAGAGGCTTCGTTGTCGAGAAATGTTTGAATATTGTCTGGGTTATAAGTTCCGTCTTCTGTCACCGATGCGATATCGCTTACGACGGCGGGCCTAAAGTTAACGTAAAGGAATGTTGACTTCTGCCGTGCATGCTGATAAATATTTTGCCATGCTGTTAAATATCGTATTTTCAGTAGCCTCATTTTCGCCCGTTGTTCAAGGTGAACCGGAACGGCAGGCTAAAATTTCAGTTAATCTCTAAACATTTTCGCGCGTGGTTCTTTACCATTGACGGGGGATACAGACAACCAGGACAGAGTGCTGAGGGAAAGCTTTGACCGTTTTGTTTCAAGTGAAAATGTTGTCTTCTTTTTTCCACACACGAATGTCGAGACTGAATCGCATCCTTGGTTGAACGATTTCAAAACTGCCCAAGGTCACTCAGAGCGAGAGACGGCTTCCTCTCCCTCTCCCCGAAGCCCCCTAAAGAATAATGTCCTCTCTAGGGTAGGGTAGAGTAGGGTTCACCAAGAGTTCACTCTGGTTTTACCGGTATTCAGATCCTTTATTTCTTCCCGTGACTCCCCTCTGGCCTCGATAGAGCGTTTCACTCACGTGGCCAACAGCCATGCAAATTTATCGGCACAAAATAAAGTCTTTACATAAGAAAAGATTTTAACTCCCGCAGGATTGGTTTGGGAGACCAACATGGCCGCTGTTTCATTGTTTGGGGACACCAATATGACTGCCATGACGTCAATGGCGTTTTCCTCAAATTCTACCTTTATGATACCACCTCAAAATTTCAAGAATTAAACATTCACGTAAAATAAAATTAAAATCTGCCAGATAGATCTTTGTAAGTACAAATACAAAAGCAAAAGAAAAGTGATCAAAGAACAAAAATTTTATTTAACTGCAAATAGTTGTTACAGATTGTTTATTGCTAGGGCATGTCCGTTTAAGACTACGAAGAAAATGATATTTTGAACAAACTAATGAAAATCAAGACAAATGGGCGAAAAAATTCTGCACAGTAAAATAAAAAAGAAATCATTAATTATTGAACGAAGTAAAAGTCAGAAAAAATATTTTTGAAAACAAAAAATGAACCAATGTAACTTGACGATCAAGTTTCTTTTACATGGATAGTGTATCAATTCATTCAATCCAGAAGATCTCCCGCAAAATAGTAATTGTTATTTTAATTAAAACATTCTTGTTTAGAAATTTAATTCATTTTCCCCAGGGAACCGTCTGTTTCAAGGCAAACTCCATCCAAGGAATTCTTCACCGAAAGCCTCACCGAGGAGCGTCTAAGTTGCGAGGAAGTTGGGCTCGAGGAAGGTCTCTTTGGAGATTGGGACCTAACAGACGCGTCTCCACCTGCAGCGGTGACGTCTTCAAGCCATGCTGCAGACAACTTAGGTCTGAGGTCAGCGGCTTTATCACTGGATGAACTGAGTATGCTTGAATCTGACTGCGTAGCTCGCAGCCCAACAGCGTCTTGGGAAGGTGTGGCCCTTAAACGGGACCTTTTGGGAGAAGAAAGCTTCGGCGGGGGTCCCACAGGAGGTGATGGGTTGATTCCGTAGACACAGGAGATGTCTTGGGCTGAGGTGGTGGTACCCCTAGGGAGTCTTTCTATGGAGGACGCCGTCCTTGGAATGCCTGTGAAAGTGAAAAAAACAAAATCGATGATTAAAATACAATTCCGGTTAGCATCTTTAGGCCCTTTAGAGATGGAGCTATTAATCGAGCGGAAAGTATTTGTAGTTCACTTCTGTGTGTTTAATTTCGTACCTTGGATCTCCAAATGGTTCAAACTTCCAGACACAAACTTAGCACGGACAATTTCTCTTAGATGGTGTCGTTATAAACAGAGCTCGGCTGTATTCCCTCCCCCAGCCCCTTGTTGATTAACACTGTCAAAGATCACTGAAAGTTTTCAAATGCACGACAACTGACTTATTTGATGGTTGTCAGTCATCAAGTAGTATTTCATCAAAGCAAAAGTGCGCCGAGAAAGAAAACTTTACAGGAACGAATCGCTATGGGACAAACACTCAAAAGGTGTCAATGAAGTTATTAGGAGAGGTCAGGTTTTCTAGAACGTCGAGCTAAGAAAATGTTCAACCGGATTCCACCCGGTCACTGGTACATGCGTCTTCGACTGGTTTTGCATCGTGGATTACGTTTTAAGATTCAATTAAGAGCTACTAACCTGTGTTGAACTGTCTTCCAGAACTCTGGCGTGGCCTCCCTTCATCAGAAGATGAAACAGTTTGAACCATGAAGTCCACAGTTTCTATCACTGTCCTAGAAACCTTTCTCTCTCTTCCAAACCTCCTCGGCGCCTCAAAGTTCATCTCGCTGTCCCGCCTCATCCCTTGAAGCGGGTCCGAACCCGAAGGACGGGAATTCTCTGGCTCTAAATTAGGCTCGTCAGCTGAATCTAACATTCTTTGTACGATATCATCAACTGTATCGTGGATGGATCGTGAAACGCTCACTTTTCTATAAGTGGGGTAGCCTTCAAAATCGTTTGCTTCTTTCTTGATTGTACTAGGACCCTGAAACCGCTTGCCATCCGTTGAGGTGCCCCTGTTTTCTCCCCCTTTCTTCCCGCAAAGGATCCCATCATCAGACGTAACACCCTCCAACTCGCTTTGGTCTTCACCTTCAGGGTTTTTCCTGGAAGGGAAGATTTCTTCGTCGACATCACTTCCCTTCAATGCTACCTTTTCACGAGAAGATCTTGGCAACTCTGCCATGGAAGGAGGCGCTTCCACCAGCGAAGATTTCACGCTCTTATTAGTGTCTAGTTGAGCAGGGAAGGTTCTTTGTGGCCCTGTTGAATCAATGTACTTTCTTGAGGCTGCAATGTCAGCGGTAGATGCCGGGCGTGTATCAGCTTCGGCTCCTTCAGGAGTCAATCTTTTGTCCTGGATAAGACGCTCTAGGCTATAATCAGCTCCCTTTAGGCTATTGTCAACCTCCATGTGTTTCGCTTCCATAGATTCTCCACCCGTTTCATCTTTGTTCCCATCAGGGCGGTCACTCTCTTGTTGCTGGGAAACATCTGGTATTAGTGCTGTATCCTTCACAGATAGTTTGCTCCCATCACTTTCAACTACCTTCTCAAGCTTTTGAGCTGAAGAAGTTGAATCTTGTAACAGCATTGCACCAGAATGCGATGGTCCTTTCAAAAGCGTTTTAGATATCTCAGTTGGTTCCGTTTTCATCGCATCCTGAGAACCTAGATAGTTTGCAGATTGATTTGGAGGCGTTCCGAGCACAATGTTGGGTGTTTTGGGCAAAGTGGAAACTACGTCATCAGGTTTGGTAACGGACGGAATGACTTTGTCCTGTGATGTATGCTGTGCAGTCGCGGTTTGTTCGTCTAATGCACTGGGAGGTGTCACACCGTCGTCATTCAGAACACTCACTATTGATTGAACAAATTCTGTTGATGTAGAAGATGCTGCTGTCTTTTCTGAAGAAACTGGAGAAGACGCCAGAGAATTTTCTTTGGACGCATGGGAAGAAAGTTCTGTTCCTCCGACTACACCTAAAGATTGTGCAGCTTTTCCCACGGAAGCTCGTGAGGATAATGCTACGTTTTCCGCAGAATTACGGGGAGATTGAGTAACTTTTCCCTTGGAAACACGCGGAGACATTACGGTGTGCTCGGTGGACGCACGTGGAGACTGCACGACTTTCTCTTCAGAAGCACGATGGGATAATGCTGCGTTCTCGTTGGACGTGCGTGGAGACCGCGATGATATTTCTTTGGAAACGCGTGGAGACAAAGCAATGTTCTCGGTAGATGCACGTGGAGACGGAGTGATTTTTTGCTTCGAACCACTTGGAGAAAATGTGGTGTTCCCAGTAGTCGCACTTGGAGACTGCGTGATGTTTCTTTTAGAAATACTTGAAGCCGAAGCTGTGCTCTTGACAGACCCGCGTGGGGACTGGTTGATCTTTCCTTTGGAAACACGTGGAGACAACACCGCGTTCTCGGTAGATGCGCGTGGAGACTGCGTGATAATTCTTTTGGAACCACGGGGAGGCAATGTCGCGTTCACAGCAGATACACGTGGAGACAGTAAGACCTCCTTCGATTTCTTTGAGGAGACAACTGCCCTTTCGCTCGAGGTACGGGGTGAAGATGTAATTATAGGGCTTGAAATTGGAGGAGATAGAGCTGCCTTCTCTGTCGATTCACATGGAGTCAGCGCCACCTTCTCCAACGACACTCTCGGAGACGCTTTCCCTTTTTCTAAAGACGCGCGCGACGAGGGTACCTTTTTCTCTGTAGAAACACCTGCGACCAGTTTAGAACTTTGATGTGACGATTGGTTTGAAGATGGTGTGGCCTTGGGCAGTGTTGCTCTATCTGTAGACTTACGCGTAGACAAATTTGCTTTCGTCAGTGAGCCACCTGGAGAGAGAATCACCTTTGTGTTTGAAGCACGATGTAAAGACGTTGAAGCTTTCGGAGCAACCGCCGTAACGTTATCCAAAGAAGTATGTCGGGAACGGCCTTCCTTTTTACCCAGTGAGGTATTAGAAGTCGTTCTTACTTTACCCACTGAGGGACGGGGGGGCTGCAAGGTTTTTTCTGTGGATGGCTTCGCAGACAGTTTGCCGGACTCCTTTGAAGTCTTAGGAGGCGCCTTAGGCGATTTCTTGAGCTGCGGTGATGAGGTCCGTTTTGGATGTATTGATGTGCCTTTTAGTGAGCTTACACTTAACGAGCTGCCATAGATTTTGGAAGCAGAGCTACTTATTTCTGGCAAACGAGATGATGACTGCACTAGGAGATTCTTTGATTCTTTACGGGGGTAATCTTCTTCAACACTTTCGCTGGCGACGAATGAGCCTTTAGGGGACAAGGATGGAAGACTTGTCACCGACGGAGTTGCCCTCTTCTGTTTCCACAAAACCTCATACGACTCGACTCGGGCTGCGATGAGGAAACGCTCTGATGGGTTTAACTGTGGAAGGACAACATACGAATCGCAAGGGGAGATCTCGCAGCTGGCTATCTCTTCTCGTCTCTTAATGATATCATACACAGACACTTTTTTGTTTAAAGAGGTCCCTTGTTCGTTGATGTCGATGTTTGAATCGGATGCCGAGCGCTCTGGTTGGCAAGATGTGACATCTTCGGAGTGACATTCTGGCCCAGGGTCGGATGAACGACGTCGAACAAGACCACTTTCAGAGGTATTAGCAATGATTAAGTCGGTTGCCGATGGAATCTCCAATTCTTTCTCGAGTTCTTGGTTTTCTTGTGTGGCAACAGAGTCAGCACGACCCTTTCGAAAACGTGGAGTTGGAGGCCTATTCGCTGTACTCAAGAAGTCTGTTTCACGTGGAACATAGCTGTCCCGGCGAGGACGGAAAATTGTCTTGTTGCTGAAGTGCACGGAACGGCTTCTTCGGCGAGTGAATCGGGCATTACGTGGACTGCCACCAGCAATGGATTGATCAACAAAACACGCCTCACTAGCCATCCGTGTCTTTACAATGTCCATGGCGTTTTCCACTACATTGCTGACGATTCTTGAAGCTCTTAATACTAGGATTTCTCGCTGGCGACTATCGTTAACATTTGTGCTGTATTCCAGATCGGCTGAGCGAGCCTGATCATGCGTAAGGACTTCATATTGGTCTCGACCGTCAATGACCTCGACGTAGTACCCCTCTGCCCCAAGATGTCTCAATGCACCGTTGATGAGGTCTTCAATATAAGTAGTAACCTTCCAATACAAGGTGCCGGGATTAAGGTCACGGTCCGTTGATCGAGTCTGATGGTGTTCATCGGCCGAACCAGCCACTACCCCGTCGGCCGATACACCCACACTCGATGACAGCTCAGTTGCGGCCTTGTAAATCTCCAAATCTAGATCCAGCGTCCCGGTGTCTCCTTGTAATGTGTCAATCAGGTTTTCAGCAGATATCATTGCATGGGTCGCCAAATAGTTTGTGGCCTCGTCCAACTCCAGACCGCCAATGAAACCACGATCAAAGAGCTCCCCTAAAGAAGCTCGAACAGACACTGTAGACACTTTCTCTGCAGCATTCAGCAGGCTTGCATCAGTACCAGCAATGTCCTGTAACGACATCTCGTCCTCATGCAGTTTTGGAAAGGCTTTGGCGGCCGACGCAATTGCATTGCATGCAAGATCCCGAGCTGCAACTACAAGTCCTTCCTTCTCAAGTTTTTGCCGAAGGTTTCCAGAAGAGTCCATCAGGGTTTTAGAAATGTCCAAGGCAGTGTGCTTGATGTTATCTTCCATCTGATTTGCCATACTGTACAGGCGTTCCAATGATGTTGATGCTGATTTCAGAGCATCCTTAGCAAGACTTTGTGCAGCTATCCACAAGTCGTGTTCGTGTCCATTAACACTTTCCAACGATTCGTTTGAAGAAGATAATGGATCTTCCAAGGAGCTCTCCGATGTTTCTGGTGATGTCAATGTTGGTCCCTCTTCTGGTTCACTCATGATTCCGTACAACCTCTCCAATGATGCCTTTGCAGAGTTAATTACATCGTTCGCTAGCTTGCGGGTTGTTGCTGTCACATCCCATTCGTTTTTCTCCACGATATGCTCCAGGGATTGTGTTGCCGAATTTACAGCAGCTTCTGCAATGTCTTTTGCAACTTCATCCAGTCCTCGGAAAATTTGGTCGGCCTTTCCTTCAATTTCGGTTTCTGGTGCAACTTTTGTCCTGTAAATCCAACCGACAGATGCCTTTGCGGAATCCAATGCGTTGCTAGCCAATCCCTGTGCTGCTATTGCCAGATTACGATCAGAGTCTTTTTCCAAAGAACGTGCAGCTGACATAACTGCAGCGGCCGCAATTTCCCTCACAGCTTCGTCGTTGCGATCCTTTTCAACTTTTGTTACATACAAGTTCTCCAAAGACTCCGGTGCCGCTCGTATGGCATCATTTGCAAGCCACTGCGCTGTCAAACTTTCAAAATCATCCTTTCTAGTGGATTCCTGTGGTAATCGCGCAGAAGGACTGATAACAGCTTTGGCGAGTTCTTTTACTGACTTCACCAGGCATTTACAAACTGCCTCGGGATGATCCTGATCTTCGTCTACCTTCTCAACGTTTACGCCATACAACCTCTCGAGGGAAGCTTTTGCGGCTGCAACTGCGTCAGCCGCTAGTATTCGCGCTGCTATCACATCGTACCCATGCCTACCGATGACTCTTTCCAATGATCTTGTAGCAGAAATAATAGCCGTAGCTGCAACTTCTTTCGCACACTTATCCAGGCTTGCCGATCGGATTGCATAAGACTCCATTTGCTTACCGGCGACGAGTTCAAACTTTACGCCGTATAACCGTTCTAACGATGCTTTCGCTGCATTCACAGCATCAACTGCGAGAGATTTCGCGGCAATCATTTCACGATTGTCTTTGTTGTGCCGCGTTGCTGATATAATAGCAGCCGCTAGGACGTTTTCTGCACATTCCGAAAGATCTTTAGAAGCTTCCTGAGTGGCTTTTTGAGCAGCGCTGTTAGTAGCAGCCGCTACAACTTCTTTGGCAGTCTTGCGAATGGTAACATACTCTCTAGCCTTGTCAATGGCGTTAGTCACGAACTCTCGAGCCTTACGCCTTATTCCCGCGTCTGAATACAGCAACAGTCCAGAGTCATCAAAAGCGAGAGATGCACCATCAATCACCTCAAGTATGTATTTCCGCACCTTTGCTTTTACGTCGCCATCGCTTGTCTGTTCATTGGCCAAGATGGCCTGAGCTGCGTTTACAATTCCCTGGACGTAATCGGGAATTTTCCTGTAGGTTTCCTGCCTCTCTTGGTGATCCAAAACTTTTTCAGCGTCTGATATTATGTCGAAAACGACGTAATGGACTCTCTCTCGCAAGGCAAACTCGGTCTCCAACCTTGACCACAGTTTCTCAAACCTGTCTAATTCTTCCGTTTCTTCCTCTGCAACCTAGTTACAAAAGATCGCTTAGTTAGCAAAACCATCTAACTTGGAGCGCTTGTTGAAAAATCATATTGCCCGCAATCTAAACTTTGGTAACGACATTCATGTTGTAACTTAATCATCTCAGTGGCAATATGTCTACTCTTCTGGAATCAGTGCTTCAAAAACAGCTCACCGATTCAAGCTGAACAGTTTGCGCAGTATCATCTCTGGGCATCCTCCCTGCGAAAACAACACCGCTGAAAAAAAACAACAAACAAACAAGATAGTCACACCAGTGAGACGCGTTTATTGGAAAAAGCGCACGTAAGCGATGTATGTTAATGCGTCATTTTGAGGGTTTCCCTTCCCCTCTTCGTTATTTATTGATACTGATGGGGGACATAATTGTTTGGAAGGGTCTGAATGGCCCTTGACGTCCAATACATGCCGACCCGTCTTACAAGAAGTCAGGTCACGATTACTCAAAATAGAAGCGAAGTCAATTACCAGAAGTCAGGTTGCCAAGCCAGAGGTTGATCAGATTCGGATCATGACGGCTCCACACAGCACAAACAAGATCCGACGTTCCAGTTACTAGCTAGTTGGAATAGTTGAGATCAAAGCAACCTTTCTTGACGCCTATTTAGCTTAGCTGGCAACCTACAACGGATGGGACTGGGGAAGTTAGAGAGGGAAAGGATCTGGCGAAATCTCTAGGCAAAATATCGAAATGTTTGCAATACCTGGGTGTTAATTGTATTGCGTAGCTCAATAATACTGCTTAGTGTATTACCTGTAAACTACGTTATCTTCGATTCCAAATTCACTCCGCAAGGAAGACTGTAAATCCCAAACGCTTGACAAACGAGACCTGCGTCTATTTGTGCGGTCCGCGTCGCTTTCTTTTCTTTGTTGCAAGCTTCTACGTCCCTGGAGAACACATGAATAAAATAAGCGCTTCCAGCTTAATTGATTTTGGGAGTTTCTGTCACCAGAAATGACGGAAAGTCGCTGAGGGGGGCGAAGCTCAAGAGACTTGAAGTGACAAGAGGCGGTTGCATAAGCAGGATAGCATCAGCCCAGTGTAGGTTAACGTAGCCTTCGTTTTTATCCAGCATACCCCTTTATTTTTTTCAACACTTAAATTATCGCTTATGAAGTTTTCAACTTTGTCGTTTTGATTCGTTCGGACAAAGAACTTTCATTCTACAAGAAATCTATATTACTGTGTCCTCGGACGTAACTCTAACATATAACCACTGCGACATCGAGAATACAAATTACAAAAGCGAGAAGTCACGCAAATTTGCACTTAGCGTAGCGATGATTCAGCAGACAGATCCTTTGATTGGAAGCGCATACTAGCGATCACTTTTACGTTGATGACCTAATCTTGCTCTAAAACGAAACATTTGCTTACTGCTGATTAACTAAAAGAAACAACAGTTTTAAATGAAAAAGGCCTTCGTAACTATGTATCAATTGTTGTAAATACCAACAGACAAATTTCCTTCTAAAATGATTAGTTTAATATCAGATTGCAAACGTGTTAAGGAAGAAAGCCTTACAGCGAAATGGAAAAATTAAAATGAAAGTTTGTCTTTAACCTGCCAAACCGCACCAACCTGCTGCAGGGGTCTCTCACGCATGCGTGCGTGTTTCTGTTTCCACCTGTCCAAGTCTCGCAGCTTCTTCTCTCTCATTTTCTCCAGGAAATTCTCAGCTTGTTGATGCTGTTTTTCCAGCGTGCTACGTCGCCTTTTCAAACACATGTCATGTTGCACTGAAAGGCAGACAAAAAAGAAACTTTGATTCGCTCGACCAGTTCAAGTATTGTATCCAAAAGTTCGTTCCACAGTTGCATCAGCTGATTATAGAAGAATACAGCCCCATGCTTCCCGTAGATATCAGAATTCTTTATATACAGCAACTGGTTGAATGCTATAACCACTAAGCTTTGGGTAGAGATATGGTGGTGGGTAAGGCTACATAACCGGATTTAACTATACAGGGCCGGATTGTTCAAGGATCTATTAAGCTAACCCATGTAGGATTAGTGAGAATTTTGTTTTCAGTTTTGTAACTTTTCGGTGAGGTTTTCTGTTTATACATCTTCGTCCTTTAGTTTTAAGCCTGAGAAATCCACACAAAATATAAGAAGTGAAAACATTGTTATACAGGAAAAATTGATACTTCGGTTAAATTTTAATCCTCGGTTAGCGTTAGGCGCTTTCAAACAACCCGGGGCAGATGTCCTACTAACTGCAGCCTCGTTGATCTCCCGATAACACCTGTGCGAGTTCGCCGCTCGTTTGGTCGGTTTCCGGCCGAAGAATCTCGTTGAACGGGAAAAAATATCTGGTACCAATCTCAAGGTACCCAAGTTAGTTGGATCATGGTGCCGGCGCAAAGCCGCCACGCCATGGGTCATAACAGAAAGTGAACTCAGATAAAAGGAAACTAGGATTTTGCAGAGCACTCGTGACGCAGCTCAAGTTCTCTTAGGCGGTTTCTCGCTGGAGACGCTCTGACGATTTTCTCGAACTCTCTTAATTTCCATTATATGTCTATAAAAGCAGTATTACTTGACATAAATATTTGATACCTTGGCTTTTACGCCGTTGTTGCGCCACAATCGATGTTCTTCTCGCCACATTTCGTTCATGTTCCTGCTTTTCTTCTTCCTCTTGTTTTCGTTTCTCTTCCTGCCGAGCCAGTGACAGCGAGCAACGACGCTTCCAGTTCTCTTTCAACTGAAAAATTGGGATGTTACTTAGTACATCTTACAGTAGACATAAACCAAGCCATGTACCACAATACATGCTCCTATCAAACAGCCCTCACTCCTTATCATTGATGCTGTGTTTTGTGATGAGTGCCCCTGTTCCAACAAGCACCCTCATAGTATAAAATATATGTAGAAATATTTGCTATGTGTGCACAACATCCAAAATCAGTCCTCCCAATACCGATTTTAGTTTAGCTTCACGTAGAGCAACGGATGAGAAAGAGTACGAGAGTAAATGTCCCATATAGGCGTCAATCTCAAGGTAATCTCTATCAATATACTTTCTTGCAAGGCCTGTAGCTGTCCAGACACCGTTTGTTATTGGCTCACGAAACAATACATAAATGATCCAAACGATGTCCCGATCTCTCGAAACAATAGAAGCTACAGCTTATCAGAACCAATGAAAAAACAGGTCTGAAACAGGTGCTGGACTACTCAGATTAACAGCCAGAGCCAGATTAACAACATTGAAGTAGTTTTAATGCGTAGGTAATTTATGCAAAGGACACGATTATCAACGGCGACAAACAGACGCTCTCTCCGAATTTTTTATTTTGAGGAGGGTGGCTGTAACACAAGCTAGATTTGAAGATCATGTAAAGCATTATCATTTATTACAAGGGTTTTATACACGGTAATTCAAAGCAAAATTAAAGTAACCGGCTTTTAAACAAACCGACTTGGCAGAATAAGTGGGTTACCTGCCTCGTCCTCACGCGTCCATGCTCGGTTTAGGTGCGGTGCGCGTGGAGTTATGGGACTGTTGCACTCGCTATAACGTCGTATGCACTTCGCGCTTCGTGACCTAACCATCAAGCACCGCGCATCCAGTCACCGACAAAACGTAACGGGGCCTGAGGACCAGGCAGCTGGGTTCATAGGTTGTGTCAGATGACTTGAATACCAAATAACTTTTACCTTTTGTTCCTTCTCCTCGATCAAAGTTTGTCTCCTCTTTTTCAACAAATTTTCTCTCTCTTTGTCGGTAGAATTTCGTTTCACAAGAAGACGGATTTTGATTTTCTTCACCTAGAAAACAAAAAAGGTAATACGATACCAAACATTACGATGACTTCAAATAGTGTATCTGTCACCATTTATACACGAAAGGAATTTTTCTTTCATCCTCAAGTGATCCGTGTGGACCTTTGCTTGGCACGTATTAAATGCATGGACGTTGTTGGGTTGTTTCCGTCATTGAATGAAATTGTGTCCTGTCTCTGTTTGAAAATTGACAAATGAAACTGTGAAGGCAAAATCCAACACTATTGAATAATCCGAAAAAAAAGTCAACCTTGGCTTTATCAATTAGTTTTGTAGTGATCGCAGTGGCGGATCTAGGGGATCTTTTGGGTAAAAAGAATCGCCGAAGGAAGAAAAGCCAGCTGGGTAAGTAAGAAAGAACGCCCCCCTCCCCACTTAGCTCAAGGTCTAGNCCCCCCCCCCCTCCTATAGCTCAAGGTCTGAATCCGTCACTGGATCATCTCCCTTTGCGCTTTCATCGCTATTTCTCCCCTCCCCTCTTCCCCTCACAAAGAGAAGAATTCCATATTGATAATCGTATAGCTTAACAGCCAGAGAGTTTGAAGAGTGGGAGAGTCGATCCCCAAAAAGGTCTTATTTCCAAGGTAATCCCTCGCAATTTATTTTTAGGTCAAACCCTGGCTCGAAAATTCCAGAAGGATCCAGAAATAGAAAATCCTGTGAAGTTAATTTTGCTCGCTTGCTCATTTCCATCCTCCACGAAAACATCCACGCAACGCTCGTGGCAACATCCGAGGGAGAACTGGGTACCATACTAAAAATAACTTGAGATAGATTACCATTCTCTTACTCTTCATCGTCTCTTGCTCCAGCCTCGTTACCAGAACTTTTCCCAGTCTCTAGGAGAAAAGCCCTGGGAACGAGGTTGCAAATGCTCTGAAGGGGTTTATAGTTTCTGATTAGCTGTTACTTACGTGCGAAAAAACAACCTATCAGGAAACACTTTAGAACTATGTCAGCTACGTCACGGTTTGCACATCTTGAAAGTTTAGCTTCAAATTTTTCAGTCCACGGTTTGTAATCCTAGTTAATCTTCCCCATCCTCAAGCATCCTTGTTCCCTTATAGTTTAATATTATCTATTTGGTGGTTTCTTTTTATCTTAGTAAACTATTATTTCAGGTTTCCTTTCATTTAAAGGTAATTCTGTACGTGGCCAAAATAACTCAAAATACCGTGACTGAGCTCATTTAACTGTTTCTAATTGCCTGTTTACTTAAATACTAAAGCTTTTTGTATCTAAAATTTCCTACGAACTTTTTCTTCTTCTTTGACTTTTTCCTCTTGCTTTGTAGCAAGGTTCTTCTCTCTTAAGCTCTCGTTTAGATCTCTTTCTCGTCTCTTTTCTTCTTCGAATTTTTCTCGCCTTTTTCGATCTATCTCTTGCAGTTTGAGATATTTTCGCCGATCTAACTCTCGGCGTTTAGCGCCACGTTCTTTTAAGTCTCTGGCTTTCTGCTCTCGCTCACGCACGCTGCTGTAAAGTTCTTCGTCTCGGAGAAGCTGTTCACGGGCTTGTCTTTCTTTCCAGAGTTGTATTTCCATCTGCCGCTCTCTTCGGCGTTGCTGATGTACTCGATCCAGTTTCAGTTTTCTGAGCCACTGGCGGAACATGTTGAATTCAAGAAGCGTACATTTGACATAGCCACTATTCGTAATAAAACCTTTAAAGCAGAAAAGTAGAAACAAATTAAAACTGCAAATACAATGTAATCTTGATGTATAACTAACACTGAAGATACCAGAGATTTTGCAACTACCCTTTAACTACACATAAACATCTTTCGATACTATCCTCGGGTAAAAGTTTAGGGTGAATGTTGAAAAATAGCTTGGGCGGTCCAAAAGGCCTTGAACAACCCAAACATATCAATAAATAAACTTCTCTTGATAAACGTCTGGAGTAAATATTGACAGTAAGGTTACCAAAGCAAACCAAACTCTTGGCTTTCTGCGAAGAAATCTTGTCAACTGCCCTGAATCAATTAAAGAATTAGCTTATAAAGCACTAGTGAGACCTCATCTGGAATATGCAAGCCCGGTGTGGGATTCCTGGATTGACAAGCATATAAAGCAAATAGAAGATGTCCAACGGCGAGCTGCTAGATTTGTGAAGAACTGTTAGCAGCGAACACCTGGAACTGTTTCCAATTTACTTAACGATTTGGAATGGCCCTCCTTTCAAAACATAAAGCTATTCATGGTGAATCAGCATTAGAAATCCGATGCTATATCAAAAGTCGTAATTGTCAACTTCGATCTTTTCACAAAGACAAGTTCATCGAACTAACTCCGAACACAGAAAGCTATAGGAACTCATTTTATTGTAGAACTATTAGAGAATGGAACGCCTTACCTAACGATGTTTTAGATGTTAAAAAAAGTCAATTATTCAAGAATGCTCTTAGATTAGAATGATGACATTTCAATTAGGTTCTAATTTTTTAATCTTAATTAACTTTTCTTAGTAATCTTTTTAAATTATGTACATATTTTATTATATATTTTTAAGGTTTTTTACCCCCCACMCCCCAYCCTGCTTTTTATTTTTTTTTTATTTAATGTCTTGCAGTGATGGGAGCATGCCTCCCTTTGCAAGACCCCCATAATGTAGATGTACATGTAGATGTAGAAATGCGGACTCATTTTTGCTCCTGAATCATTGATACTGTGGAAAATTGGAATAGGATTGTAGACGATGGATTTGGAACATGCGCGCTACATGTTTTTGAATTTTAAAGTTACACCACACTTTAGGTTTTGCACCTACTGGTTCACAGCTCTCTGCGTTAAAATTCCGGTCTCTGTAGCATGAAGTGACTAGGAGTATTGCTCCTCCCCCGTGGATAGGATGCTAGTCCATCGCAGACTTACCCCGAGCATCCTGTCAGAATGCGCCTCAATACTTCGCCGCTATACTCATTATCACTTTTGCGTGGAGAAAGGCACTGGGAGAGTAATGGCCCTGGTCAGGGCTTGAACCAGGACCGCTCGGTCCGGAGTCCACCCTGCTAACCATTACGCCACCGCGCCTCCTACGAAAACGAGACCAAAATCTTGAAACAACCGGTAAAGTACCTTTCTCGACAAGTCTTCGTCGCATGGCTTGATTCTGAAAGTATTCCTTTAAATGTGGATCGTGTAACACGTTGTAGCGTGGCGGGGGACTGTAAGGATCTGTCAGATCGAAATCTGCATCGGTTGGCATCTCTCGTAACTGCATGAAATGTAAAGGTAGAGGTCTGTTAACATATTGGAAGGGTTTTTACTTGAGTGTCCAAGTTATTGGTTTTGCATTACTACGCTACACGATTGGCTTAAAAAACTCTCGCCGCTTTTCATCCAATCAGAAGTAAAACCAAAACCAATCACAACACGCTCGCACACGTTTTCCCGCGCTTCTCGTCGTATTGTATTCACATATTTTTTACTGCTATGATTGGTTCACTGGACTTTCTGTGTCCTTTGTGATTGGCTTGAGTGATTACTTTGGTTTTGGTTTTACGACACTCAACTGAAAACCGCTGCATGACATTTCGAAGAGAGAAAAGAAATAATACAAAGTCCGCATGCCGCCGTCAATTTTAAAAGTACCCCGCCTCTCAAAATGAGCAAATCCCGCTCCAGCCGAAGTATAGTTTATCTTGCATCTCGCCATAAAAATGCCTGTCATCCCGTATCCCGCCTTCAATTTTACCCTCATCCCGCATCCCGCATCCCGACACACCTATGTTGGTCTGTAAAGCTGGAAGCTTCGAGTTGTTTTAAGCATGATAATTCCATCAACAAGCTACATGAACTTGAACAAAAATTCACATTAGTCACAATATACTTTCGGCGTCTTCCGTGTTGTTTTCGTGAAGCAGGGCAATTCAAATTGGAGTGGCTTGATTGCCGTCTATCAAATCAGTAAGCCAATCATGAATCGAAATGGAACTCGGACCACGAAAACAATGTCCATTTTTTTTTTCAAAAATTTTGTACCAGGAAAACTTCCTCTCTCAGCATCTTGGGCCTTTTGTGACTCAAAGTAATTAAACGTACTTTCGCGCCTAGTCTTCAATTTCCTTTTCGAAGTGCTGTCTGGAAAACTACAGCAAAAGGCCACCAACCCTGAGCGACGTGCTTCATCACTGCGCTTTCCGAAATAAATACGAAAGACGCTAAAAATTCGGATGACATTTGAATCTTTCCTCATAAATATCTCACCTTTTGCGAGAGACAAGTTGTACAGAATGTTATTGAGCGCTGCGATCCAGGAATCAACGGAAACTTGCTGCTCAAGCTCATTAAATCTTCCTGCATGATACACTCTGGATTAAATTCCAGCACGTTGGAGCTGTTCGCGCGAGCCACAGAAAACATATAAGCCATGGCGTCCATATTGAAACGAGCGGTGTTAAAATCTCTGTCCTTCACGACTTAAATTTTCTTCTTTATCTCTCTTTCACTGTGTTAGACTATCCATGAAGAGTTTTTCGAGACTGAGTTACGTGAAGTACGTCATAATAAATAAATTAGTGACGAAGCGAGAGATTTGCGCGCGGAAATGCGAAAGCGTGCGCGAAAAGTCAATGTTGTTCTAGAATCTTTCCCACTGCTGTTTTTATTGTTGCTTATTTAAGCTGGACTAACAAAACTGTGGTAGAATAAAAGCACTTTGCAGGAAAATAGTAAATATCGTCTGCACATTGAAGAAAATTGCAAGTAGTGGTGGCAGGCAGCTTTGCGGGAAATGACAAAACATGAAATTTGCTGCGAAAACGTTTTACGAGTTTCATGTTTTATATAACTCAACCGCATTTCACCCAAGTACTCAAATTCTATTAGAAATGAATTTCTAGGTTTTATTCAACTTGGAGGGACGTTTTTTTAATTAAATAATGTCACAGATTCATCCTTGACACCGCTATAGCTTTTCCCAATACAAGTACAGTAAAATCCCGTATAAAAGAACAAGTGGATTAAGAACACTCAGGCTGAAATTTGGTCAAAAAAGTACCATATGCATAAGAACACATTCAGCCTGAAAGATGAAAATTGTTCTTATATAACACAAAATTGGCTGCCAGTTAGATTAGAATAACCTACTAGGGTACAGTACTAAGTACGGTACTAAGTAGATCAATATAAATTATGTGTTATCCATTAATTAATTAAAATGTTGTGCTTGCAGATTGATTTCATCTGTTGGTAGTCTATGCAGTATTTAAGAACACTTAAGAACATTTTCAGGCTGATTTTGCAGAAAACACCTGATATATAAGAACAAAATCAGCCAAAAATACCTGTTCTTTTATGCGGATTTTTACTGTATTAAATAAAATCAACATTCACAAAACTCGGAGAAGAAAGTACAATTCATAGTGTTTATTTTGCTAGAAATAAATAAAAAGAGTTAATAGTGACAGACACACGAGACTTGAAACGAGAAATCGTTGCGTGACCAAATGTTGCGTTACAAACTGTTGTACCGGCGAGTATCACGAAACTATAGAAATATTTTTCCTTCGCGTGACAAGCTCGTCAAAATTACTTCATTATATTTTTCTCTATGGCACTCGTTCTACGTATGACCTGTACAGTAAAAAAATTCACGACGCGAACATTAAATAAACAAGTAACTATTCTAAGGACAAGTGTTATGTCACGAAATACAGGTCACGCAGAAATGGACGGGTCACGAATATTTTGAGTCAGCGAATGTTATCTTTGAAAGGTGAAGAATGCGTGAGCATCTTTCTCTCCATCAGCGTGACCTGCCGTCTGCAACAGAATGCAAAACCACAGTTAAACATAGGCACGTTTTACGTGCAGAGGGAGGGTTCAATTGGACTAATTTGCTGAGTTGGTGATTGGGTGGTGAGCAAATGACTGAATTTGTTTGTTTGTTTGTTTGTTTGTTTGCATGTTGCGTCTTGAAATGAACAGTCACTGAAGTTGGTAAGCAACATAAGGTGAGGATGACGTCACGCTGACGTAAAAAAATCCGTGCGTTGGCCATTTGTTCTCTCTATGGCAATTATTTCTACGGTTAGGCCTATCGCCTACAATAATCCGTCACGCAAACGGAGCTTTATGAAAACGCTCTTCATAAAGGAGGAATTTGAAAACGCCGGTCTTTCGTTTTCGTGTGGACAGAAAACATTTTGAAAACGGAGCTTTTCGAAAACGATGGCGTCACGATAATCACGTGATTTCCCTGACCGAGTTTTCCTCAAACACAAATCCAAACTGACCGGTGATTGTTGCGTTTTTAAATTCCTCCGGCATAGTGTGGACGGAAAATATTTGATGCGTTTTCAGAGTGAACCATTCGTTTTCAAATTCCTCTGGCGTAGTGTGGACGGGGGCTATGTTTTTTGTCTTTTGGATTCGGATTGGATTCGGATTGGATTCGGATTGGATTCGGATTGGATTCGGATTGGATTCGGATTGGATTCGGATTGGATTCGGATTGGATTCTTTTGGATGTCTTTGGAAAGGATTGACCGAGATTTCCCGTAACAGGAACATGTCTTTCTTCCTCGTCTAGGTGTTACTGTCTGTCATCTTACAAACGTACCTTACATCCAGCAGCCTGGGCCATGGACGTTATCTTTTTAAGGTATTCTTGCATCTGCTCAGGTTTAAGATCCAGCATGAACCTTAAAACAAACGCAATACACAATATCACTTGTTACCGCAACACCATTCTTGATTGTAATGATTCAAGTCTTCACACTTACTTGGTAGTTTCAACGATGACAACAGCTTCATCGGCAAATATTTCCTTCACTTCCGGAGTCAATAAATGAACCATACTGCAAAAAATATTTTCAGCAAGATAATTGAAAATTTAGAAACGCGAGTTTCGATTCCTTCAAAAGATTTAATGAAAGAGGACCGCTGTTCACATAGATTGCAGGCTCGTAAACAGCAGGTCAGTATTTTAGATTGCTCTTCCAAGTAAAAACAATGAACCTAGAGTTGTGGACACTAGATCTTTTCAAGGGAATTAGTATTCTTTTGGTTTTGGTTGGCAAAACAGTTAAAGAAGAAGTACAAAGTAATAACAAAGGTCATGTTTCACTGATAGTAATTAACGTTCGATAATAAAGGTCAAAAATTTTCGCGAAGCACTTCAGTTCCCTAGAGAAGTGCGAAAAATCGTTTCTCGTCTTCAATTTCGAGAACCTTTTTTCATGTCTTTGAGAGTTTCTCGAATGAAAGATTTCCCTGACCTCAGTTTTAGGGGTTGTAGCAGAGAACAGAACAGAGTAGACCCACTCTTTGTTGTGAGCGCCGGTTGAAAAGCTTGGTGGGTAAAAACAAGTTTCTAACCAGTTTCCAACTTGTCTTCCTTCCTACACAACACCCTGAGTTTGAACATTTTGCTCGCCTATTTCTATAAATTTATGGACTTCTCCACTTTCAAGCTAAAACGCACTGCAACGTATTTACTGAAAACTCCACCTTTATAAAATGCAAGGCAAATCAGTGAATAGTTATCGCCTTACAGAGCAATTTCACTCAAGGGGCTGACGCACATGAAAATGTATTGGTGCAAAAGAAAGTGTTCCATAAGAAAAGAGTTCAACTCCCACAGGATTGGTTTGGTACACCAACATGGCCCCCGTTTCATTGTTTTGCAACACCAATATGGCTGCCATAACGTCATGTGAAAAGCTTTATACTTTTAACAGTTTTTAAACTTGTTGCTTTATCTTTTAATTCCTTACAAACTGCCTTTAAACTCCTGAAGTGAAGCGGTGTCATCGACAGGCTTCTTTCTCTTTCGCTTTTTGTCAGACAGTGCGGTCGGAGTATGGTTGTTTGTAAACAAACATGATCTTGCACTCTAATTTCGCAAATACCGAGCGAGTCTTGCCAAGTCGTTACAGTAACATGGACGTGTGTATCACGTGATCACTCACCTGTTTGAGAAGTAAATGACGTCAAACAGCTTGTTGTATTTGCTTTTCTTGGAGAGATCAGGAACACAGTTCAGAGGAAGGAAGGACACCGTGATACCAGGACACTTCATGTAACCTGTAACATACAGCATGTACACAAAATAAACTAGCCAAATATGCGTCACTTGTCATGTCACGGTTGAGGGTAACTTTGTACCCAGATCCCACTCTGCTTGGCTGTGGGAAATCTGGGATCTAGATTAGCTAAATCAAATTCTGTGTCATTAATTATAGAATATCCATATATCGTTAGCTTTCAACCGCGTTTTTGGGTTCGGCCAATTTCAAATTACTTCAACTTTAGCACTCCAATTGGCTTTTCAGAAAGAGGAAAAAAAAGTTTTAAATCGACTTTCGAACAGCTACTTAATTGAGGGGCGTGAAAAACTGCTCCATTGAACAGGAGCGCGGACACACTGCGAAACTACATAATCCTTGAGGAAAAAATTGAAACTTAGTTAGATTTCCCCTATGGTTTCTTCGCAGCGGAAATTTGTCCTCTTCCGCTCGCAGACAGAGAGGTTTTATGTATGTAGGATGCGATTCACTAACTCAGTAGTAACAGACTATTTTAGACCATTTACCTTGTGTTTCCCGCTTGGTATCGTTAACTACCCTTTCCTCTGCATTTTTCAATTCTTCGGCTTCTTTTTCATCTTCTTCTTCTTCTTTGACTTCGTGTAAAGTCGCCTTCCCGTGATTGGCCTTCTTCTCGTCAATCTTTGGCGGGACATACTTTTCTCCCGTCATTATTTCGTGCATGAGGGCAGTGACGTTATATTCCGACACACTCGTTGCTGTCTGATACGAAAGAAATTGAAACGCGATCATTGGCTACAGCATGTTTACACAGCTTTCTAATTGATCAAGACGGGAACTATTATCTCGTACCCAGATCTCACTCTGTTTGATGCTAAAAAGTAGCCGTGGGAGATCTGGGTTTAGATTAGACGGAAACAACTTTAAAACGGCAAAACCTTTAATGATAGATTTAAACCAGAAACCGCACCTCTAACATGGAGTCGAAATACAGACCGTGTTCCTATTACAGTCTGTTATAGCTCGTGGTCGTTATAACAAACAGTCATCAAAACGGTATTTCTTGACATCAAGAATAATCAAGGGAGGGGTAAGTGTTATCAGCCCAAGCCTACGGAGACCTCAGTTATTCTGGATATTAAACACATCTAATAATTCTTTTACTATACATTGTTGCAAAAGCGAACTTCGAACATAACTTACATTGAGTTGTGAGTGAAACCAGTTTAGTCTGAACACTGAATAGAGATTTCATTCGTTGCTAAAACTCTTGTCTTTCCCTCACTTTTTTAGATCATTTAGCAGTTTGAAAGAGCAAAATGACAAAGAAAAAATAATCAAGTACTGAAAAAGAAAAATCCGACACGATAATTTAATTTATCGAGGTAAATATCCCTTTAGTTTTTTTTTTGTTTAAATTCCAAGATCTATTTCCTTTTGGGAACAGTGTCATATTTCAATATTATGTATGTGAAAGATCTTATATGATCATTCATGTCTTTACAGTTTCATATTTAATAGCTTGTTCCGTAAGGACACATACTCACTTTAACATACTGTCCATTGGAGGTTCTAAACAGTGACTCCTCCTCGCTCTCAATACCGAATGCCAAATAAGGGCTGTTTATGATATCACCCCGGAAGCCTCTGCGTGCAATCCGCTCTCCATCCTAACACGATCAGTAAAACAAATCAAAACAAGTACTATTTAAAAAAGAAGTTTTTGCTCTGATATTTTGCTCTTATTAAACACATAGGAAGTCAGTACTGAAGGATCACGCCCTATATTGGGAGCACAAGAAGAACGAACGCAAATCATTGACTGGTTGTTTGGTCTGCGGGTAGTTCCGCTAGCAGCAAGGTCGGCAAGGTCGCCAACGTTGCTGGGTCGGACGGAAAAGCAGTCACTCTTGACTCACGCTTGGAGGGCGAGAAATAGTCAGCGTTTTCACTCTCTTGTGTAGTAATAATTTAGCTGTAGTGTGGTAGCCTTTATTACAGTCTGTTGCGATATATTTTTTTAAACTTACATCGATATGAGACGTAAGCGCTTGGGTCGCAGTAAGCGAAACAACTCGCAGGCGAAACGACCGGTTACGCAATTGATAAGTGGTTATAATTGAAGATAATATGATGACGCTTATGGCGGTGTTACACATTTAAAAGAAAGAATACTATACACTATGTTGCAAAATTTCTCTTTTTCTTTTTTCCACTTTTCTTCACCTTATGAATCCCACTTCTCATCCTCTCTTTTGTTACCTGGATGTAAGCTCTCTTGGAGCAGGGAGGGGGTGGGGGAGAGGAGAGAAAACATACTCGTGGGCTAAAAATTTACCAGCCCCTTTCACTCATGGCTTCACAGCCCTCTGCCAACTCCCCACCTCGCCTTCATGTTTCAAGTAGACCTCATTGACAAATCACCCAGTATTTGTTCATACCTTTTTTACTATAATACCAGAGGCTAAAGTTCTGTTAGACGCTTCATATGTCGAGTCACTGCGAAGCTCAAAAGCCACACCTTGTTCTCGCCAGCTCTTGTACTCATGGGCATTGATAATTGATGCCTAAAATCAAGATCGTAAGAGATTCATTTTAGGAGCAATGTTATTCCTCCTAGACAGACGGTATGCTAGCCTATCTCCCCCCTCCTCGCCCCTACCCCACTGGAGCATCCTGACAAGTTTATCTAACAGTCATTCTGTACCTGTTTATACTTTCCAGTCTCCACAGCACAAAGTATTAGGAACATTTCTACACCCCCCTGGGTGGGATGCTCATCTCAGGGTTACCCCCTAACATCACCAGTACCCATTTATACACCTGGGTGGAGACGCACTGTGAGAGTAAAGTGTCTTGCCCAAGAACACAACACAATGAACCCGGTCAGGGCTTGAACCCAGACCACTCAATCCAGAGTCAAGCAAACTAACCATGAGGCCACCATGCCTTCCAAGAATTAACAGAGGGGAAAATGACTGGGTTTTCAAGAGGTGCAGTTTGGTGGACTCCATCTAGAACTTAGAGAATCGCCGAGAGCACCGTAACAGCATTTTAACATTACACTGTACATGGCATTTTCAAGTTGCTAGACTTAGGGGGTTAAAAGTACAGTTAGTGTAACAGTTTACCTTTTTGGACAACTTCATATTGTAGTCCCAGTCAAAAATATTCTGCCTCGAGTCATAACGTACTGCAAAATATTGCCTCAACCTTTCCTCCCTGAGTAAAATCAATAAATTAGAATGAATTATGCTATTTAGTATCAACACTGATGGCAAATTTTTCTATTCATAGTTCAAGAGTTCAAGGGTAAAATTACAGTGTTTGACTGAGGAGAGGGAAATGAATTTGGCTCAAGTTTTCAGGAAGTTTGAAAAATTGAGAGTTCAAGAAATCAGGATTCCATTGTATGTACATCATAGAGCTATCACTTACCAGTGTCTGCAGATATCAAACAGCTTAGGATCTGTATTTCTCCAGAATTTAAAGATGCTCTCTAACTGATCTCTCTCTTTAAACTAAGAAAAGAACAAGCAACAGAAAGTTTTTTTTTATTAACTGTCATGGATATAGTCAATGGAATTTTACTATAAGTTACATGTAGGATATACAAGTCATCTACTTCTAACGACAACCATGCTTAGAAATGACTTGTACTTGGGGTAAACAATGGAAAATAATTTGAATGGGAAAAACAAATATACAAGAAATTAGCAAGCATTTTAGCACACTGAGTAAAAAGACATTATGGGTGAATAATACATCACACATGTTAAGAATAGACAAAAAGGTCAGAACTTTTTTCCCTGGGTTTCATCACAAACCCAATAGCAAATTAAGTTTATCTTACTTTAAAAATTCCCTTTTCCTCTTCTTTCAAATAAAAAAAAAAACAGTGAAAAAAATGTATTTTTATGTACATGTATTGTGGCACTAGCAGACAATTATATTAATGCAACACTCTAGTTTTCACTTTTCTTTTAGCTGATTCCACTGAATTACAGGGTACATTGTCCATCAGCATGCACGGACAAGTGTGTGTAGATACACAACAGTAGGAGATTTCCTTAAAGCTACGCTCAACAGCGAAACAAGTGTTTTTTTTTCTCCTAAACAGCTCAGTGATCTGGCAATTTGGCAGAGTTGAACAGTAATTAGTTCAATCTATTATTGTGATATGCAGCTAATCTTAAGAGGAGCAAAGTCATATAAATGATTGCCATTTTTATCAGAAATTAGATAATGAATTATTATTTTTTGTTTTTATCAATAAATTGAACAGAATGTGATTTAAAACAACCTTCAGCTGTGAAAAGTTAAACACAGGCAAGCAAGCCTCAAGGAAATCAGAATCTGTTACCATCCTGTGAAGAAATAAGCAGAAAATAAATCCATATTGAATAACAAGTGATGTAATCTGTTCTTTAAAAATTAGTGAAGAGTTTATGTGAATAACGTCTAATTCCAGAAAATTTCCATACCCACCCCATGGAAGGTCATTGTCATTAATTTTTTTAGAGGTTGGGGTTCCAAAAGCTAAATCTTTTATAGGAAAGTATCAAGCAGAACTGGAATTTCCAGAGGGGTTGGGAAAGATATGTTGAATATTTCTTGGAACAACACGACAATGCTGAGTTTACATGCAGAAATTCTCCCTTGAAAGACTCCTCATCTGCAAGTTCCCACAAACTTGATCCTGGTTTCTGCTTCTCTTCTGCTGGAGTATTTCTACTTCCCCCTGGATGGGATGCAAGTCCTTCACAGGGTTACCCCCAGCATTGAATTCACTGATACCCATTTATACATGCGCCTGGGTGGAGAGAAGCGCTGTGAGCGTTAAGTGTCCCGCCCAAGAACACAACACAATGTGCCCAGGCGGGGCTCAAACAGGGACCACTCAATCCGGAGACGAGCGCATTAACCATGAGAACACTGCGCCTCCACCTCATGAGATCAAAATGAACCCCTCAAACTTTGTTGGGTATGCATGGTTCAGATTCATAATTTATTATAATTAAGCATGTTTCCATTGAAAAAGGAGATGTATCAAACACTTACTAGTAATAGAGAGCATTCATGGTACACATGCTGTAATAACTAATTAAATCTATGAGGATTTGAAATTCCAAAACTCCCTTAAGTTAGTGGTAACATCTAATATATATACACGGACTTTTTAAATGACAACGTATGATGAAAAATACCATCAATGCAATACAGGGAGTGGCCCCCTTCAATGGATGGTTTTACAAACTTGACATGTTCACATACATTGTAGTACCTGATAAAGTCAGTTGATCTCTGCTGTAAATATTCACTTGCTTGTGGTCTCACAAGGCTATTCCCAAACAGCTCAAGAAATAACTCTGTCTTTTCTACAAAAATTGTCAAAAAAAGTATTGGAATTGTCATGTAGTCTAGAACAGGGTTCTTTACCTGGTTCTATTAATAATAGAAACTGAAACTCAGAAGTGACTTTGAAAGATTCATATTGGTTTAGTTAGCATATGTTGGACTATAATAGCTAGTCTGGGATAGGGTAGTGGTATTCGGTGTCTAGTCTGGAATAGGGTCGCCAAATCAAGCTATTCATGGTCTAGTATGGCGCAAGGGTTTCAGTGTCCCACTGGCACACCCCTACACAAAGATTTACAGAGTACCCCCCCCCCCACCGCAACACATACATAACACTTGTAAAGAGAAATTCTGTGTTGATCAGTCAGTCATTGCTTACCTTGCAGTCCCAGTCTCTCTTTGGGTTCAAGTGCAATAGATAATAGTAAAAGGTGTCTTGCATAAATCTCAAGACTGTTCTCTACAACATATATCTGCAATGTCAATATTAAAGAAAGAAATTGATGAGATCTTTGCTCTAACTATCATTAGACTGATAAAATTTTAGATCATTCAGCATGTACTCAATGTACTCCAGTGTGACACTTGCAACACATTGTCACCATGAAACACATTGCAAATGAAATTGCACCTACAAGTTTGTATATAAAGTCATTTTACATGTAGTCAACACTATGATTTCAAATAAAAAAATCAATTGGCAGACCTGTAGCAGGCTACTATGCTGAACTGATTAAGCAACCCAATTCCATTAAATACCTCCTACATGCATTTCGTTAATCCACTTTCCACTGCACCCATATCTTGCAATATGATCATAATCTACTATATGTCGAGGAAAAGGTTGTTGTTATTCATCGTGATAGATGCAATAATAAAGTGTATTAATTATCGTTTGTCTCACAATGTAGTCACTTGAGATGTAGATCGCGACGTTTCAACTGCTCACTGCTAGTCTTCTTCAGGCGACAAGGTCCACTGATTGCACGGCATCAGTCAACCTTATCGCCTGAAGAAGACTAGCAGTAAGCAGTCGAAACGTCGTGATCTACATCTCAATTGACTACATCGTGAGACAAACGATAATACACTTTATTATTTAATCTACTATATGTTCTCAGTCTCCAATAAGCACCTGAACCCAGAAAACTTGACAAATTACAATAGAAGTCCTGGATGCTACACAGTAAATCACATTTTAACAGCAACCCCAACTGAGGTAGTTAAGAACTGGGGAAAGTAGAGTGGAGCAGTTACAAAGTTGTTGGTGGTAACAACTCTCAACCTTATCTATAGAGAAGTGATAATTAGCATTTACAGTAACTCACACTGAGATCTCTCTTGGTGTGTCTGTAGGCATGTGCAATGGTCCTGAAAATGTGTCGACAATCCCCTGCACCTATGATCAGGATAGTGCACTTTCCTAAAGAGAATCAACCGATAAAATGGAGTCATAACACCAGAGGAATGAACTAACCAAAAACAATGAACAGGGAAATTCAGTGATCCAATAGAGCATGTTTATTTAATAACTGGCCCAGATTGTTCAAAAGATGGATAATGCTATCCACTGGATAAATCACTTTCCAAGGGATAGCATGGTTTGTTTTGTCAACACTCATCCACTGGATAGTGCTATCCAGTGGATAGCGTTATGCAGCTTTTGAACAACTGGGGCTTGATGTCTACAAACTGAATGGATAAGGGGATAACAGGAATGAGTTGAAAGCAAGAATAAATGGCACTTAAAACAAAACCAAATAATCAAAACATATACATGCCAAATGCGTAAATGATACTTATCTAATTAAAAAAAGTTGCGCCATATATTCTGCAAAACTGAAGCCAGCTGTATCATTAGCACTTCCTCAATTGTTTACAGTGAAACCCTGTACTAAGCGGACCCCATATAAAGTGGACACCCTCTGTTAAGTGGACACCAGCTTGAGTCCCAAAATTTTCTTCCTACATTTACGGTAAAATAAACCTGCACTCAGCGGACACCTCTGTTAAGCAGACGCAGACACCAATATGTAAGCCATTTTGCTGCACAAAACCTGCAATAAGTTGACACTTCAAGGGCTTTTTTACTTCTGAAATCTCAGCTCAGACTCCTTTAACATTGTTCAGTGATGTCGTTTTAAAGCTAAGTAGATTATTCCAGATTGATGCATTGATTGACTGGCCAATGTGCTATGAGCAGTCTTTGATCTTACACTGTGTTAGGCTGTGTTACAAAAGGGTTACTAATTAAATATTATTGCACAATATATTAGAACCTGCTTAGAGCGGACACCCTGTATTAAGCGGACACTAGTGAGGGTCCCAAGGGTGTCCGCTTAATACAGGTGTCACTGTATGTAAGACCAGTGTGTTACTGCTCAAAGACATACATTGTACTGATACGAAAAAAGGGAAAGTCTACCTTGCTTTCTTGCACCATCTTCGGAGATGTCCAAATTTTCTAACTTGGATAATAAAGCTGCAAATCACAAAAATAAGCCAGGATTAAAATATAACCTCTTTAAAATAAGGATTGAAATGCATCACAGGTCTAGCATGTGATAAAAACTAACAATCAGTATTTCAACAAGCTACTTTTATTACTTTCAAGGGATGCTTGCTCTAGATATGAGAAAACAGCTGTCTTGTACTTTATAATGCTTCTGTAAAATGGCAAAAAAAATCATGTAAATGAGTAATTTAGAGATGATGAATGCTGTCAACATCATTCCCAGGTTTCTAATCTTTCAGCCCTACCTCTCGCGCTCTGGTAGGGTGGGCAGATAAGAGACCCTGGGAACAAGGTAGGAATGCTCTTTCCCAAATTGAATGGCATTTTATCTAAGAGCAAGACAGTAATGTTGCATATCGGCAGAACTCTCAAGTTAAGTAGTTGCCAAAGAGTAATATTTTGGATAGCATAGCTGTCCATTGTGATGGTTGAGGTGTCACCTTACTAGGGGGGTCTAGGGTATCGCCCTCCCCAAAAACATTTAGAACAATTGAAGTGTCTAAGACATGTTTTCCTTTATTCTAAGTGGAATGTGAACCCGCTAAACAGTGTAATGCTGGCTCTGCTCCATCTTACAAAACAAGTATATATACACGAATACAGAGAAACTGAGTTATTTTCAGAATGAAAGCTTATTACATAGTTGCCAATGAGCCAGGCGAGCAAAAACACGAGCCTGTCAAGGCAACAGGATATAGAGCCGTGCGCAGTTTGATGGCTATGTAGAAAAAATCACAGATATTTCAGCTCGATTTCTGCATAATCTGGTTCCATCAGTGATATTTTTTTGGCCATATTAGGATATAGCCGGATGTTGTCGATATATCACACAAACCAATCAGAACACTATTTTTCTTTGTGACGTCGCGAGGCTTTGATATTTGTTCAGCTCTCCTGGATGCGGAACCTCATTGGGCGATTATTTTGGTAAGAACTTAAGTAATTTGCCTACCATTCTGCTTTTTGAGGCGTATACATCTTGGATTTGTTACGATTGAATCGTACAATTGTTAAAGCTGAACAAGACCCGAGTTGTTTTCTGGAATCAATTTGAGTGTTGTTTATTTGATTTAGGGTAACGCTCAGGATTTGTTCGGCATCCATTCAACGAATTATTTCGGTAAGTAGTTTGTCTGACATTCTGCTTTTTGAAGTTGAATGTAACTCGCATTCACCTTCAAAAAGCAGAATGTCAGACAAACTACTTCCTGAAATGATTTTTACGAACTTTTACCGAAAAGTATTTCAGTTGTTTTCCTCTGCAGAGCACCCATCCCTTAAAAGTAACAAAGATTCGCAAGCAAACGTTTAAGCCTATGTCTAAGATTAGCTCACCACAAGCATGGCAGGTTTATTTTGCTGTTGCAGAATAAAAAGAATGCCAAAATTTGCAGAACTATAGACCTTATCATGGTTTTCAATGCCATCTTGACGGGTAGGCAAAGCGGTCAGGAATTAGAGTGTTTGTATGGGAATTCGACGGTAAATAACTTTTTCCAAACTTAAATATTACACAATTTGTGAATCACAACCTTAAAATACTAGGTAGAAGATTGTCTTCACCAAGTTTGAAGGATGTAGCTTTGCCAGAAGACGCTCAGTTAATTATTCTTATTTTCCATACATTCGTCTGTAATTTTTTTTTTCCACAAACCGCGTCTACTCAGCGAAATTTACAGTTCAAGCAGGAATTTTCAATTCCTCCTTGAAAAATAATTTGGGGACTTGACGTTTGGGATAACCAGGGTTACGGTTATTTCATTTGCATTCTCGATTCTGTAAACCTTGTCCACCTCAAGTACACATCTCTAACTACTAAACTAGTACCCAAAATATCTGAATAACAAAATAAATTAGCAGCAACATTTAGCTATTCTAGGAGCTCTGAACCAACTGAAACAAAGCTTACACTGGTATTTGTCTTGCAGATCAAGAGCCGGACTAAATCCCCACCAAGTGATTGCTCCAAATCCGTCCACCATGATGGTCCTAAACGAAGCACGCTAGCAAAGAAATATTCTTCATATCTGCAATGTTCTCTAGATTGTCTGCCATTACTATTTCCCCAACTTTTGGGGACTGGTTACTAGAGAACGTCGGTTAACGCATGCGCAAATAAGGAAATTGAAAATTTTCAAGATGGCGGCCATGGCGAAGATATTCTCTGGAAATTTACGACAACTTGCGGTGGTAAGCGGGCTAATAGATGCGAGATTTCTTTGCCGAAGATTGACAGTTTCACTGTTAATCAAAGCGTACTAGAAATGCATTGATAATTGGTTTATATGTACTTGGTATCATGCCATCTGGGCAAGCATTTTAATAGGCTTACCACCCTAAAAATTGAGTAAGGCCCGGGTCGCACTAGAGCCAATTTTGTTTGTTTAAAATATTTCCAATTTTTGGCGAGGAAAAAAATTGGCAAAAATTTCGCAAGTTCCAAATTT